TTCTTCCTATGACTGCCTATACCCATTTTCTCTAGCCTAAGCACATTGTCAAACACACTGGAACCAGTTTAGAAGTTTTGTTTTGTCCTCCCCCCTCCCCCGCCCCAATCTGGACCTCTTTTGCTGTTTATCTTTAGCTATTTTTGACTGCACAAGCAAACTTTAGATTGCTAAGCTATACCTGGATCCTCTGCGTGCTCTAGCAACTGGCTCTGCCCACTCTCAGATCAGGTCATGAGAGACAAGCCCAAAGCTTGTCTGAGGTTCCTGAGAATTTCTTTAAACCTTGCTAGCTATGGAAGCCAGAACTTGAATTGTCACAAGCCTTTTTTTTTTTAAACTTGTTTCTAGTTTAGTGCTGCTAGCTGAACATTAGCACCTCTTAAAGTTCTTTTTATTTTTTTTCAGCTTTCACAGGCTCTAGATATATTTTTGAGCCCCACAATGGAATGCAAAAATTACTGTGTGATATTTTACTCTTTTGGCTTTTTGAGGAGCCCACCACTCAACTCCCAAATAAATCATACAAAGAGGCTTATTTCTTAATTATGAATACCCAGCCATACTTTGGCTTGTTTCTAGCCAGCTTTTCTTATTTCAAATTATCTTCACTACCTATTCCTTCTGGGCTTTTATCTTCCTTACTTCTGTATATCTTATTTTCCTTCTTACTCTGTGCCTGGCTCAGTGGCTGGCCCCTAGTTTTCTTATTGCTCTTCTCTTTCTTTCTCCTTTTATACTCTGCCAGCCAGCCCCACCTATCCTTGCTGCTGCCTAGCTATTGGCCATTCATCTCTTAATTAGGACCATCAGGTGTTTCAAACAGACCAAAAAAAAAAAAAAAGCTTCAGTTAATCAAATGCCGCATAACCAAGTCTCACACCTGAAAATATTCCCCAACAGGAATACATAAGCAACATAAGCAATGTGGTTTAAAGTAACAAATGTTGTATACTTGATTTAATAACAAGTTCAACTCATTACACAATGGTTTAAATTTTTAAGGACAATTATCAAATTATGCTGCATCGACTGGTAATGAATGTTCTTAAGACAAGGCAACATGTTGTGTAATGTTTCATACTCCTTTGGCTTTTTGGGGACACACCACCCAGCTCCCAAATAAATCACATACGGAGGCTTGCTATTAGTTATGAGTACCCAGCCTTAGCTTGGCTTGTTTCTTGCCAGCTTGTCTTAAATTATCCCCAACTACCTTTTGCCTCTGGCCTTTTAGCTCTATTTCTATATCCTTTCTTTATTTCTTTCTCTGTGGCTTGCTGTGTAGCTGGGTGGCTGGCCTGATGTTTTCCTCCCCTTGTTCTTTCCCTCATTCTCTCACCTCCCAAATTTCTCCTTCTATTGATACTCTCTACCTGCTAGCCCCTCCCCACCCCTGCTCCTGCCTCGCTATTGGCCATTCAGTTCTTTATTAGGACCATCAGGTGTTTGAAACATAGTAACATAGCTTCAAAGTTAAACAAATGTAGTGTAAACAAAAGTCACACACGTGAAAATATTCCCCAACTACAACTTAAAGTTTGCAATAATAAAAGCATACAACAGAAAACTTATGGCAGAAGTGATCATTTCATAACCACATAAATCCCTGACCCTATTTTCAAAATGTGTCAATACATTCTAAAACACTCTTTAGAAGCTTAGTGAAACATGAATTGACTTGCTGTATTAGTTTAGAAGTGTTGGGACACTCAAAACATCAGAGAATGGTTACTTTATGCTACATGAACCAGTGTTCCATCATTTGACTTGTTTCAGGGTCTTCCTTGGGCCATCCACACTGGACTACAACTATGTGAGTGAGTCCTGCCTATAAGCCACTGATTCTTTTCCAAGCACTTGACTGCTGAAATTGCAGGTGTATACAACCTTGCTTAAGTTGTCATCCGATTTCCTTTATTGAAGGTTTCAGATGCCACTGTAGTTTTACCAAGAGCAAGCAAGAACAAAAACTCTAACAAGAACTTAATTTTTTTGTTTTCGGGTTTTTTTATTTTTTAATTTATTTATTAAAAATTTCCACCTTTTCCCATTTTCCTCCCCCTCCCCTACCCTCACTCCCCCTCCCTTTCCTGTCCAAAAGCAGTCAGGGTTCCCTGCCCTGTGGAAGTTCAAGGTCCTCCCCACTCCATCCAGGTCTAGGAAGGTGAGCATCCAAACAGACTAGGTTCCCACAAAGCCCGTCCATGCAGTAGAATCAAAACCCAGTGCAATTATCATTGGCTTCTCAGTCAGCCCTCATTGTCAGCCACATTCAGAGTCCAGTCCAATCACAGGCTCGTTCAGTCCCAGTCCAGCGTTTTACGTCAATAGTCTTTTATTCCCTAGCCAGCAGACTACACAGGAAACTTGCCCAGATCATATAGCCATATTTTTTTGCTTTTTATGCACAAAAAACATGTACTTAAGTCAACAAACTTCAATTAGCAAGAACAATAAACAGCTAAAGAGGCCAAAAAAGGAAAACTGGTAAACGTAGGGACTTCACCAGAACTATGTAAGGTGGATTAGGTCTTTGTTCTCATTTTGGCAGGTGTTGGGATCCATGTGCTGGGCTCTTAGGTCATAATGGTGCCTTGATGTCTCCAACATGGCATCAGTTGTGCTAATTAATGTTTGGGTGCCTGTTATATATTAAATATCTGAGAATACAAAAGTGAGAGAAATCTCTCACCCAATCACACAAGGATGCAAGGACCAGTCTGAACCAGGCAAGTGTTTCTAAAATACAATTCCACAGAAAAGGATACCAGCATAGACAAAAGGCAAAAAGGGGGCTGGTGTAATGATTTGGCATGAGATAGTAGTTCTTAAAATCCTAATTGCGAGAAATATTGGCCCATTTTCCCAAAGGCTGCTACTCCAGAATGGCAAGCTTTACATTCTTCTAGCATAATCCTCTTCCCACATTCTATTGGTTAAGAAAATAAAGCTTTATCTAATGAATATCTTGGGGCTTGAGATTAACCCCTTTTCTGATTGGAGGCTTGGACTCAATTTGCCTGCAATTTGCCAACTTTCAGAGTTCCAAGACAAGCGGGTGCAAGTTTCCAGCAAGGAGAGAAGAGCCTAATGTCTCCTGCTTATCTGTGACTCTATAGTGAGCTCTAAGCACACCCCATAATGAAAATCGGCCACAATGATTTATTTCTTGCAGAACCTAAACCCAAAATCCCAACTAGTACTGTGTCCATTATGAAATACAACTCTAATATACTGATTCATTCGGAACTCATTAGTTCAATCATCCTGAGAACAGCAGACTGAAGGCTGTTAGGTATCTTTCTTTGTAATGGATTCCATTCTAGCACAGTTTAAGCACCTCATGCCTTAATGTCCCAAATATTTTGCTGTTCTGTTTGGTTTGGCTTGGGTCTGGTACATAGCTCAAGAGTGAAAGCTCGATTTATTCAGAAGCAAAATTAACCTTTAAAACAAGGTGTTATTTAGAGTCAAGGCATGGACTCAGTGAATAAAAGCACTTGTTGCCAAATTTGATTCCATGAGTTCAATCCCTAGAACTCACAGATTAGAAAAAAGAACGGATTCCCACAAGTTATCCTCTAACCTACACATGTGGATAGATAACAACACTCACCCAACACACATACACACACAACCCTTAAAGAAAACTTCAAAATTAAAAGATACTATTTATAAACACATTCTGTAGTAATCAAAGAATATTTTTGTTGCCATGTGTCTGGTAAACAAAGTATTTAGAACAAATTAAGCTCCAAAGGGCTGGTCAATAGGAAACTTGCTTGGATACACAAAAGGGCAGAGATTAAAAGGGATGATGGAGTGAGTATCACAGACAAGCATGCTTTGAGAGAATACATACCTGAAAACACAAAATGCCAAGACATAACAAATGCTGACTTACAGAAATTAAAACAAGAAACCAGAGTTTCTTAAGGAGGCGAACAGAAATATGATAACTCATATTCATGCTCTAGTATGTCTATCATCCCTTTCTTAGACCATATGCTTAAAATCTGTGTTAAAATATCTTTAATAAACCTTGACTGTGCCTTAAAAATATTAGTAGTGCTGAGGAAGAAAAGATAGATAAAAGAATGTATGTGCTGCCAAAGCAAAAAGCAGACTATTGGGGGTGGGAATGTATAAGGGGCCAGGGAGACAAGAGAGGACAGCAGAGAAGATGGGAATAGGAGGTCCAACAAAAACAAATTATGTTTTTAAATGCCATAAGGAAACTTAATACTTTCTTGGCTAACTAACTAATTTCAATTGGAAAAATAACCTGAATAGAACATTATCAGCAGAAAAGAAAGATATGCTAGTATTTACTGATATGGGGCTGAAATTAAATAATATTTTAAGTGGTCTTACAACTATTCCTCACCAATTCAAGCTATAAATTCATTCTTTGTAACCACAATGTCTGCAGAAACATGTTGAAACAATCAAACATCTGGTATCCTCTTTGTTGCAAAAAGAAAACTCCACTCATTTTGGCAATTTTAAATGCTAGTTTTTATTTACTGGAAATTGTGCAAAGGACACTATAATACTGTGCAGTAGGACAGTTATATAAATCCAGTATAAAGAATACCATATGTGGCAAATGTAAAGCAGAACACCATGTGCTTTCAAAACTTATTAATATCAGACTACAATTTGGTTCTGACAATTCTTAAAGAAATCTCATTTAATACAAACAAATGCTTAGGACCATAGGTTCTTGTTTTTTTTCTGTTTCTTAAATTTCTCGAAAAGTGGAAATCATTATCAATTTCAAATAGTTGATTAAGGTGCACCATACCTTAAGAAAACAAGTTGTATGTTTTCTTTCTCTTAGCAATTGGCACCATCAGTTAATATAATGTTCACAAGCTGGCTAACAGAAAACTGCCTACAATGAAATTGCTCATTATAGGCACTAGAAGTACATTCATTTCAATTTTCTTATTCATAACAAATAGATATTCCCTTTTTTTAAAGAAATATTTTACTTCAAAAGTAAAATAATTTTAAAGAGATACAATAGTCAACGTTTTTACCACCTACACCACTTAAGAACTAATAAGACATTTATCAACCATAAAAGTAAAAATGGCAGCAAAGAATATTTTATATTGCCAAATTTTAATTCTGAGGTGTATAATGAGGTGTGTTAGGTAGAAGCATATAGTTAACTGGTCCAGAATTTATAGCACCATGCATTTGGGCAGAACCACCATATGCTGGACCAACTGGATGCCACATGGCAACACTGGGATAATCTGATGCCACAGGAATGCAAGGATCAAAACCTGGCAAAGTTGACCCATAGGGATCTGCCATTACTGGATAATAGACTGCTCCATGAGGGACAGGTACGGCATCAGCAACGGGAAAAGTATCTGAAATGAGAAAGGTTTTATTACACACACATACTCTATCGTAAAAACTCACGAAATATAAATGAATATTCATACAAGAAAAATTAAATATATTATTAATTATAAGAAAGAACACAAGACCTGTCAGCAAGGCTGCTCAACGGGTGGAGATGCTTGCTGAAAAGTCTGACGGTCTAGTGAGCAACATGAGAGGAAGCTGACTCCTTTCTTGGGCTGTCCCCTGAGCGCTGCATGTGAATCACGGCAAGCACATATACACAAAGGCAGACATACATTCATACTCACACAAATTAAATAAATAAGTGTAATTCAAATATTTTTTAAAGATCACAGAGGCCAGAGAGATGGCTCAGTGCTTAAGAGCATTTGTTGCTCTTCCAAAGGGCTTGGGGTCCAATACCCAACACCCACCATGGTAGCTTATAACCACCTGTAACTCCGGTTCTAGAAAGACAATCCACAACACCCTCTTTTGAACTCTTCAGAAAAAAATGCCCCTACATGAAAAGATCACAGCAACTACAAAGAGGAATGCTTTATTCTTGGTTTTGGTTTTTGTTGTTCTTTTGAGACAAGGTCTCTACGCAGTCTGCTTGTCCTGAACTTGCTACATAGAACAGGCTAGCCAACAACTCAGCGATCCACCTGCCTCTGCCTCCTGAGTTCTGGAATTAAAGGAGAGTACCACACCTGGCAGGATCATTTTAGATATGAATAATAGTTTCTACAAGGTGTTTGAAATCTTCCAAATTAAAAAGCTGTATGTACATGAGCTTATACATACAAATAAATCAGGATGGGTAACATTATCTGTTCAGAACTGGGGAATTCAGTACTTATTTAAGTTACAAAGATCTTGAAAACATAGAAACAAATCTTTAGAAGAAACTAGATTCACAAATAGCTCCTACTGGCTTACTAAGAGTTTTAGATTACTAGAAAGCTGTTAAACTCATAATAACAGGTTCAAGTTTGCAAAACCTCTAATTTTTATTTCAAACAGAATTTTCTTTTGCTGTAAATTCAGCAAGCTGTTTTTTCCCCCTAAAATGACAGGCCCATATTTTCATTTGAGAAAATGTTGGTCAGGCCAACCATGTTTGTCTATCATTCTCTCAAGGTAAAAAAAAAATGTTACATGTTAACAGCCCACAGTACTTTTCCTAACTTGTCACTTGTGGTGACACATATAGGAAGGATTTGCCAAAATAGAAGGAAGCAGGAGGATCATGAGTGTGAGACCACATTTAAAGTCCTAGGTACCAAATGGTGATGGCACATGCCTTATTTAATCACTGAATCACTGAACTCAAGGGGCATAGGAAAGCGGATCTTGGTGAGTTCAAACCAAGCTTGGTATAGAGTGATTTCCAGGACAGCTAGAGCTACATAGTGAAAGCCTGTGTCAAAAACCAAAATAAAAGTCCTAGGCTACACATTTTTTTTAAAGATTTTATTTATTTATTATGTATACAACATTCTGCCTGCATGAAGAGGGCGCCAGATCTCATTACAGATGGTTGTGAGCCACCATGTGGTTGCTGGGAATTGAACTCAGGACCTTCGGAAGAGCAGCCAGTACTCTTAACCACTGAGCCATTTCTCCAGCCCTAGGCTACACATTTTAAAAGAGAGTGATGGCTTAACAGTAAAGATCACTAGCTGCTCTACTTGCTCCTCTAGAGGTCATGAGTTTTATCCCCTGCAAGCACATATTGGCTTACAACTTTCTATGAAATCCAATGCCATCTTCTTGTGTACAGGTCGGCATACATGCAGACAAAACAATCATCTACAGGAAATACATAAATCTTAAAAAATAAAATCAAACTTCATTCAATTTATAGAAGTGTTTCATGACTAGTTTCTATATTTATCATGAAGAAAAACTAAATACTATTAGCAAGAAAGAATGAAGCTGATTTTTATAAATGAACCTTTCTGAAGAAAGAAACAAAAAAATCCACATTTTAAACAAACTATAGTAGTAATAAACATACTGATTTATTAGCACAGCTTGTTGCCAGTGCCATGATATGGTACCAGAAGTTTTATTCATCATTGACTTTAGTACCATGAATGTAAATGTTACAAGTCAATATGGACGTTTGAATGAGAATGGCCCTTATAGGGTTGGCTATACATTTGAGTTGGTAGAACTATTAAGGAGGGATTAGGAGGTGTGACCTCCTTGGAGTTACCTCCTCCCGCCGTCCCTCTCTCTCTCTCAGACACAGACACAGACAGACAGGCACACACACACACACACAAACACAGAGCCTCACGATGGTGAATCAGATGTAAGCGCTTAGCTGCTACTGCTTCAGTACCATGCATGAATGACTGTCATCATGTTCCCCACACCATGATGATCACACACTAATGCTCTGGAACTGTAAGCAAGCTCCCAATAAATTCTTTTTTTAAGTTGCCTTGGTCATGGTATCTCTTCAAACAACAGAAAAGTAACTAAGATAGTCAAAGAATGAGATGGGGCTACAACTCTGGTGGAACTCCTGCCTGGAATGCATGAAGCCCTGTGTTCAATCTGCAGTACCACAAAGAGAAAGAACACATAAAATCTTAGTATCATTTGTAAAGACTACTGGCTTCATGCATGGATTCTTTCAAAGAGCCTCAAGGATCACAAGGCATCTAAAAATTATATTTTCAGAACTGATAGTCTAAAATCATATGGATTTAATGAAATATCTGAAGATGAACTAATTATACACAATAAAATCCAACTGACTTTCTTGCTAGCAATCTCATTATATACTCACCATTTGTTGATACCCCCGCCTGTGTGTCATCTGCCCTCTCTACATCACTGTACAAATGAGAAACACTTTGGTCTACAAGAGGTTGCTCAGTATACTCCGGATAACTCTCTACATGAAGCTGCTGCTGCTGCTGCTGCTGCTGCTGCTGCTGCTGCTGCTGCTGTTGCTGCTGCTGCTGCACATGTGGCACATACACCATGGAGTGCCAGTAATTATGATGATAGCACTGGAGAAGGAAAAGGTACAACTGAAAACTTGAAAGCCCTTATTGTTCTCAATTCTTAAAGTAGGAAAATTCCTAGCTTAAAGAAATCAGGTCTCAATTCTCAGGTATTGTAACATCGGATATGGATCTTTTACACCACCTATAGCTCACATTTATACCAACTATGGCTATTATTTACACCAGCTATATAGCTCATTTATACCCAACTATAGCTATTATTTACACCACCTGTAGCTCATATTTATACCACCTATAGTTCATATTTACACCTAGGGTTAAATTTAGGTAATCATATCATGGAAACCAAACATATAAACAGACTTATACACAAAGATATCACTTGTAACCTTATTTTTAAAGTAAAAACTACTGAAAAACTTAAGTATTCAATGGAGTTGAGATAATTATCTATCCATGGCAGAATACTACACAGGCAAAAAGTCATGCTATTAAATATATAAAGACAAAAAACCAGGCTGGAGAGATAGCTCAGCAGTTGAAATCACTGACTACTCTTCCATAGGTCCTTAGTTTAATAGCCAGCAACAAGACGGTGGCCCACAATCATCTATAATGGGATTCAATGCCCTCCTCTGGTGTGCAGACATAACATACAGAGCACTCATATACATGAAATACATAAATAAATTGTTTTAAAAAGACAAAAAGGTACTCAAATTAAGAAAAAAGATTAGAAAATTACATAATGATGCAGATTTTTAATAAAAATTCAAAATCTTTAAGATTGAGCAAAATTTCTAATTCTCCTTTTCTTAGCACCTTACAAGTTTCCAAATATACTGTAATGAACACTAAAACACTATCACTTTTAATATAAGAAAGTGAAAAAATGTATTATGTTATCTATCATTCATCTCCTAAAAAGGAATATACTACAACCACCTGGCTTGGTTGATGGTTTTGTTTGTTGTTGTAGTTTGTTTTTTGAGAAGAGTTTCTATATGTTATTCAATCTACCTTTGCCCTCCTGAGCTGAAGTGATCCTTCCACCTCAGCTTCTTGAGGCACATATCATAATGCCTGGCTAGGAGAATTATTCTTAAATACCTCAGTCTTGTGAATTATATATAAAAGTTTCCATATGTGTGTAATAACTAAAGGGACAAGTAATTATCAAGTCTTAAACTACATTTGAAAAGATAGTATCAAAGAACAAATACATACCCTACTATTCTTAATTTAGCTGTATGTTAAAGGAGGAAGGTTTTCTCAGGGAAATTATAGCAATGGGCTAAGAATTAACTGAAACATCTTGAAGAGACTATTAGTTTAATGTCATTTGCTAAATATTCATCTGCATAATTATCAGGAAATGCTACCTGGTTATAGGTTACATTAGTTAGAAGTGAAGTGTATTTAAAGTGTATTTAAAGTGTATTTAAAGGAGAAAAATGATCCCTGGCTCCACAAGTACACCTCTCACACTCAGGGAGGTGTTTGGCAAGATCTAAAGTTAGTGCTTTAAAAGGTTATTTAAATGTCTTTGAACTAAGTCTGATTTTCACACAGAATATAGAAATAACCATAAAATATTAAGTAAACAATGAATCACTCATTCATTCTGGGCATATATCACTGAAGGGCTGGCATATAATGCTAAATATGAAGCATAACCTAATACATATGAAGTTGTGTTGCTTAGAACCTAGTCTTCATTCTCTTCAACTGAACACTATTTCATATTAAGACAAACTGAGACATGCTAAAGAAAACTGACCAACATCATCTTCAGAGATTTCCTGAAAGGAATAAGACCTTTTTAGACATTCAGAGTATGGCTTGTAAAGTTCAAAAGTCTGATTTCTCAAAAAAGATTATTTGATGTTATTCCTACCTGCAATCCAAGATTAAAATAGTACTGCAAAACTTTTGTATCTAAAACAAAATAAATCTTTTATTAGATTGACACAAACAATTTAAATTATCACTTAAAAGCATTTCCCTGCACATTACTAAAGTAGATTATAGACATAGACATCTCACGCACTACCACCACTCTCAATTCTGTTTTAAAGGACTACTTTTTCACTTGACATAGCTATGATCATTTTGTGACACAAGATTTAATCACTCAACACAAATTTCATTTCTGTTCTTAGTATTAGACTGATGCTACTAAAATGCCATTCTGTTACTAAGAAAATAGCTAAAAAAGGCATTTTCTTGCTTGTCTTGAAATGAAAATTTTTACTACAACTACACCTCAGTTGCTAGCACTACTACACAGCACAAACTGCTGCTCTACTAATGCTGAGGAGTGAGGCCCACTGAAGAAATTTGGCATACTCACCTTGTTTTGGTTTATCATAACACACTACCACCAGAACTCCAAAGAGGGGACAGTAACCAAGGCAGGTGAAAATGAAGTAAAGCCTAAAAATGATAAAACTTCTCCAAGAATATAACTCGAATAGTTCATAAATTAACCAAAACCAGATGCACAGCAGAAGGAAAGTTTGCAACATTCTTGGGGTTTTTTTTGTATTATTTTAATGTGTGGAATGGACCCCAAGGCCTTGGAAATACTAAATAGAAATTCTACCACTGAGCAACATCTTCATCACTATTCTGAGTATTTTATTTTTTTTTAAATTTATTTATTATGTATATAATATTCTGTCTGTGTGTATGTCTGCAGGCCAGAAGAGGGCACCAGACCCCATTACAGATGGTTGTGAGTATTTTAATAGTATCTGTAAGTGTATTTAACTTGACTGACCTAAGTCCATTATAAATATAGCCCAAATTCTACTAACAAGATGAATTTGTGGAAAATGTCTCTTTCATAAGCCATAGCCTTCCTATGGAAATGCATTCATTTATTGTTATTTTGAAAGAATCAGTTTAGATTCTGACTAATATATAGGGCCAAATGCTCAAGTTAAAGACTATGAGAAAAATAGGAAGTAAATTCTCCAGCACAACATAAACATGAACACAAAAACCATACCAATGTTTATGGCAGTATCATTAATAGTCAAAAGCAAAAACAACCCAAATCCCCATCAACTAATAGATAACAAAAGTGGCACAACCATACAATGAGTGTTATTCAACTATACATAGTGTGAAGTACTGGTACCTATATACAAGAAGGACGAACCTCACAAACATGCTATTATTCACAAAGGAACTAGCCTAAATACCTATATAACTGAATAGATAAAGAAAAGGTGGTATATATACACAAGTCTAATTCAGCCATAAACAATAAGGTCATTGTATCTATTGAAAACTAGATGGCACTACAGATAGTATGTGAAATAAGCCAGACTCAGAAAATGTTTGCTCTCATATGGAAAATCTAGTTTGAAAGGTTATCTTTTAGAACCTTATTTTTTTGTATTGGGGAGGGGATTTCAAGACAACATTTTCTGTGTAGCCCTGGTTCTCCTGCAACTCTCCCTTGTAGACCAGACTGGCCTCAAAAGCAAGAGATCTACCTGATTCTGCCTCCCTGGAATTAAAAGTGTGTGCCGTGCCACCACACCTAGCCTAGAACTCCTTATCTTTATTCATGCCAAGGTTAACACCCTACTGCCAAGTGTATTTGATGCACTAAAAGAATAAAATTAGAAAATGAAATATCAAAGTACTAGAGAATGACAGGAAGGCTCTAAAATGAGGGTGAGAGGAAAACAATAAAGACTAATGGGTTGGGAATAATAAATCACCACATATTGTCATGTGAATCTAGACTTAACTACATATAAATTTATAAAAAGACATGAAAGCATAAGGGAACTATCTAGAAAAAAAGAACCAGTGGAGGCACCAAGTATGGGGGCTGATAGTGGGAATGTGAATATGGTCAAAATATAATATACAGTACAAAAATGTCACAATGTAATTCATTATATTATGGTATGGTGATACAAAACCTCATAGTTCCAGCCTTACAAAATCCCAACACAGAAAGGAGAAAATAGATACATAATTCCACCACTAGTTTAAGGGATAATAGTGCTAATAGCTTCTAGCCAGTTTTCTTTAGTGGTGTGAACCCTGGTAGGTTACCACACTATAGAGCAGGCTCCAATCATAAATAGCAGCTTGGGTAACACAAACTGGATTCTATGAGCAAAGAAGAAAAAAGAAATCTCAAGATTGTGTGGAAAAGGATGGAAGGTTGAGAGGTGCTAAGGAAAGAACTTGAGGGGCACGAATATGTTCAAAAGACATTTTATGAAATTCTCAAAGAATTTATAAAAAATATGTTTTAAAAAAGTACTGGAATATTCAATTAAATACTAATCATAGAAGAAAAACCAAGTGAATCACTAAAGAACATAGATGAACTCAAACACTTATGCACAGTTTAAGAAGCACCGTGCAAGTTACACACTGTACTGATTACATTTATATGTAAAACTAATCTATGATAGAAAACAAAATAGCTGAGCAATGATGATATCTAGGAAAAAATGAAAATGACCAAGGGAAAGACAGGGAAGTAACATAAGTAAATTGTGGGACAGTACAAGGAAGGTAAGTATCTGCCATGCAGGCATAAAGGCATAAATCCAAACCCCAGAACTCGTGTACAAAATGCTAAGCATGATGATGCACAGTTGTCACCTCAGAACTGGAAAAACTGGGGCAGGAACTGGTTTGGCTGGCTGGATAGTCTAACCTACTTGCTAAAGTTCTTGGGTGATCATATACAATCTAAAGAGAAACAAAAGGAATGTCTTGAGGAACCACAGAGGCTGTTCTCTGGCATGCACATACACGAATGTGCACATTCAGGAAAAAAACTTATTTAACCAAAAAAATTAATAAAAAAACCAAAGTGTTGAGACAATGACAATATTTTACAACTCAGTTGGTAATGAGCTACATAGATAACTTATGATTTTGTGTTGTAATGAATACATGAGTACAAATATTAAATTACAGAATCTTTCAAGACATGAATACATTGTACAATAATTGTACAATGATAAAATATGTTGAATTAAACATTCTATTTTGTTTTGTTTTTCAAAAGAGGGTTTCTGCTTTGTTTTGGAGGCTGTGTGAAACTCGCTCTGTAAACCAGACTGGCCTCAAAGTCACAGAGATCCACATCCACCTGCCTCTGCCTCCTGAGTGCTGGGACTAAAGGGGTGCTGAGTGCTAGGATTAAAAATGTGTGCCACACCCCCACCCCCCAAGTAAATAAACATAGTCTTCATTACAAATATTTACCATTCCCTTGTGATAAGAACATTTAAAATCTTTTCTTACTTATTTTGAAATATAAAATATATACATCCTACTGTGCAAATACAGCACCAAAACATAGTCCTCATTCATATATATGTAATTCTGTACCTAATAACCAATCTTTCTTAATTTACCCTCATATATTCTTCTCAACATCTAGGGATTAATATCCTATTTTGTATTTCTATGAGATAAAAGCATGTTTTCACGCTTCTCAAATAAGTTGAGACATGTAATATTTGTCATTTTTTACCTGACTTATTTTACCAAATACTGTATATGCCTTCTAGATTAATACACAAATGAGAGGATTTTGTCTGTTATATATACATGAGAAATATTCCCTTGTGTATATATACTCATTTTCATTATCCTTTATGGTTTGGGAGGTCTACTGATAAATACAATTTACCTTTAAAGCTATCAAAAAACAAGATGGGTTAATTTCCAGTCACATGGACAAAAGGAACAATGAGCAAATACGTGATAAAACAATACAAACATCAACAACATAATCTCACTAGCAATTATACTATCAATTAAAAAAAATCAACAATGTTTATCTGGCTATCTTCACAATAATATGCTAAAAAAATAGAAAATCAACATTATGTGATGATGGAATACTACTTGGGTGCCAATGGTGGATAGAATAAAGGAGTCAGGATTTAGATATTGGGTTAAATTAGGTAGAAACAACAATAATACTTACAAAATATGAAACCAAGAAGAGGAATAAATGTTTTGTGTTGACTGGTGAAAGACAAGAGGAAAAAGATGAGGAATTTCATTAGAGATCATTTAAGTCTGAAAGTCAAAAAGCTAAGTGAAAATGTCTAGTAGTAAGAACCAAAATTTCTGAGCAAAGGCTACCTAGATTTAGAATAGACTACAAAGACATACTGTATGGAAAAAGAACAGAACAGAATTGGAGAAAATCTTGTTAACTAGTTCAGGGAATGGAAAGATCTTGGGGGGAAAAGCAGCAGCTAGAAAAAAAATCAGGAAAATGTTGTAAGCAAGAAAATATAAGTAAGCTGCTAACAACTTTCAACTACAATTCTCTTTGAGTAATACTACCAAACTCAGGACAACAAAGAACCTCCGTTGTTTAAGGAAGCAGAAATATGTGGTTGATATTCAAAGCAGATCAGATGAATAGAAGTTTTCTCCACATCCTCAAAATTCAGTTGGTATACCAAGTATCAAAAAGCTAACAATTTCATACACTTGGGGAAAGACTTTAAGAAATAGAAGAAAGCTTTTAAGACTAAATCCCAATTTAAAATAAAATACTTGAGAAAAAAACAAGGTATCTGTTTGTCAGGAAAGACATCGAGTTACAAGAGGGGTGCAGAGGAATAGTCAAGATTCAATTCAGCTATCTACAAGATTCTCACAGTTGCTCCTTGTTCATCACTTAGAATTATATGCTCAAAATCACTCCCATTTAGTTCTGTACCCATCAATTAACCAGAAAATATTCTAGATTCAAAAACCACCTCAAACCTAAATATCCTGCACCAAATCTCAAAATACACTACCTTGTGGCAGATCACTTCCACTTGGATCACAGGAAAAAGGTGGCGGTGGTGGCGGTGGTGGTGGTGGTGGTGGAGGTAAGCCTGAAGCATCTCCTGCTTCAAAAGAAGTTAGAGAAGGAAGTGGAGGAGGAGGTGGTGGTAGTGGTATTGCCATTGCTTTTGCTGCTGAGGGCTGAAGATAGGCTGCAGTAGAAGAAATGGGAGAATTATTAGGGACAGGATGGCAATAACAAAGAAACAAAACATGAAATAGTTAGTAATGCACAACTGTTGCTTCTTATAAAGCAATAGCTGACTTGCTTTTTTACCCCCAACCTGTATAATAACAGAACTCTGAATTCTCATGGGTTGACTTAAAAAACATACACTTGGATATCACCGAATGCAAATTTAAAGATGTTTCCAGCAACCTGTCACAAAAATTACACACAGAGGTTTTAGCAAACCTTACAAATTCTCCTGACAGCCTCCAAAGAATGTAGGGAACTTTAAATTATCAAGATTCAATTCTAAAAAGACAAAGAACTTAAAATGGGATAGATACAATATTGTATCCTTGTAATATCCTGTATCTATTACAACAGCTTTAAAATATTCATCTAGGAGTTTCAATTTTAATACAAAATTGAAATGTAATTATGTTTACGTATTAAACTTCTATGATGATAAACAGTATGTTTCCAACATAGTAAAAATATCTACATGTAAATAATATACCAGGTTAAAACTGATATTTTGACAAATGCTAAATGAAACAATCCTTCAAATTTAATTGAACAATTTTAGTCAATTTATAAATTAAAGTATCAAACTTCAAAGCTGTGCTAGATACATGATATTTTTAACAATAAATAATAAAGAGTTAAATTCAAAGTCCTAACACATGAGGTTTAGCTTAAAAACAATCCACAAGCTGAATTTGTTACTCTGGAAATTTAGAAAGAAAGGATCTATTTTTGCCTTCATTCACTGGCAATGCTAATAATACATTCATCCTTTAAATACAGTTATATGCTAATAGTAATAGAAGGATGTGTCTACAGATGACACCAAAGCAAAAATGAACTCATAAGCAATTTGAGGAGATGAAGAAACAATTGTCTTTCGACTGGAGTGTTGCTTTCATTAACAATGCATTTGTGAAAAATTTACAGAACTGGATACCAAGAAGTAAATTTTATTAAACCTAAACAGGAAATTTTAACAACTTAAGTAAGTCTTTAGGACTATTTTTTTTTAAGACAAGGTTTCTCTGTGTAGCCACTGGCTATTCTGGAAGTCCACCCCTCTCAGTAGACTAGGTTGGCCTTGAACTCAGAGATCCACCTGTCTGCCTCCCAAGAGCTTGGATTAAAAACATGAGCCACCACCACCATATTAGCTCTGTTAGGATTTTTAAGAAAACCAGGTCACCTAGTTTTGTTGCAGATGCTGTCTATGGCTCTGGATTTTATTTTTCCATTGTTATATGGTGACTCTGATGGAAAAGCTATGCTGTTGGCTACCACTTTTCTAAAACTCTCAAAATTTAAATTATAGTACTTCTTTAAAATTCAGTAACTACTCCATAAACAGGTGCTGTTGGCATTCCCAAGCTCACAGTAATTTGTGTCCATAACGTGTCTAAAACTGCACAGCCAGTGAGTAGTAAAACCAGGATTATAATCTCAGATTTCTTAAATTCTAGAGCTTGGTATTAATTATGATATTCACAAGATAAGGAGTTATTACATGAGTATAGGTTTTATAATAAACTTTAAGGAAATTTATTGCATAAAATAACATCTCTATGTCAATCCTCAAGTAATAAAAACATAGCTCATGGGGCTAGCACGATGGATGGCTATTGGATACAAGAAATTGCTAGTGACCAGTTTGATTCCTGATTCACATAAAAGTGAAAGAATTATCTCATTAATTCCCTCTAGTCTCAGAATGTTCATCCTTGTCCCTCATAGACACATAAAACGAAAAATTTACAAAACTCAAAATTGTTGAAATAATGCAAGAGCTCTATTTATTCACTGAATAGCAAATGGCAGGTAAAAAATTTTATAGAGCCCTATTACAAAAAACAAAAACAAAACCACCAGAATTTAGACTCCTGACTCATATCTTACAGATTCCTTGGCGATAAAACAACCTTAAGAATAATTAACATAATTATTTCTTGAAACTATAATGCCACCTAATAATTAGAGTAACAGTACGTACATATCCATGAGTAGAAAAAGAGGTTTCTAAAGCAAATAAAAACTAATAACCTACCTTGACTATCTTGTGCAGAAGGAGGTACAAAGACAGGCTGTATGGTATCCTGTGAGGAAACATCAGAGGTATTTATTGTTTGATTATTTCTTGTATAGTTAGGTAAGACTGGAACAGGAACATGTTCGGCCCAGGAACCTGTAATTGCTGTAGAATTTTCTAACACCTATTAAGTAGAATAAAGGTTAAAATTCTTAAGTTTGATTTCTCAAATCATATTTGTTTCTTCTCTGAACTTTAGGAAATTATAATCTTTCTGGTGACAAAGCACTGAGATAACAATCTGTATGCAAACCATGTATAAAGTTACTTCTTTTGCAGGATCTCTGATTATATTGAGAGCTATCATTCTTTCTGTAAAGATAACACATTAATATTAAAACAATAAAGCCAAAAGTTGTGCATGGTGGAAAGTTTCCCTTCAACTCTTATTCTCTATAAGCCTAGGTGTCATCTTTCTAAAACGCTAACTTCTTGACCCCCACAGATTCGTAATATATATTCATTCTCACTTATGTCTATCTATAAGACATATATACGTATACGTGTGTGCGTGTATCCACATAAACATTTATGTAGAAAAGCTGCTTTGTATTTAAGTGTAATTGAATGACTTAATGAAACTAATTTTTTCCTGATTTGGGTGCAAATTTAAAAGAACATACTACTTACCCAGGGTGTATGGTATACAGTATCATGTATAAATATAATAAGTAACAGTCTGGACTGTGAAGGTGCAAGTTTTAATCCTAGATGCTGAGAGGCAGAGGCAGGTGGATCTCTAAGTTTGAGGCCAGCCTGGTCTATAGAGCAAGTGCCAGGCAAGACAGCCAGGGCTACTCAGAGAAACTGTCTCAAAAAAGAAAAGAAAAAACCAAAAGAAACAAATAAAAAACCCCAAATCAAACAAACAGCAACAACAAATAGCAAAATACATAAATCAAATAACAGACTCTTAAACAATGTCTTTACTGGCAGCCTCCATTTCTCTTCTGAGTACCACAATATGGCTCTTACCAGTCAGATCATCTAAAATGTCAAAGACATCAATCAAATCCTACTAGACTCTAGTTAATCTTTACATTGTTTGACCTCTTAGTAAAGAGTCATATTTACTCCTCCTGGAAATGTTCTCATTCCAGGGTTTCATTATGTTCTACTTTTGCCCTGTTCTCGACTATTCCTTATCTACTCATCTTCAAAATTTTGCCTGTGTTCTCAATGCTGGTCTCATACTCTTTCCTTTTCCAGCACTACAAATTCAGCTACCTTTGGAAATGCCAACTTCTAATTCCTATCTCAGTAATTAAGAGACTTGAAAAGTAATTTATTATTGACTGATTCATAAGAAGCTCACAGTAAAGCATACAACAGTATCTTAATAGTAGGCACTTAAGTGACTTGTTAAAATAAATATTAATCACTGTGCCAGGTTGAACAGAAGACAAAATAATACTTAATGGAATATAGGCAGCTGCTCAGAATTTTGATGAAAGGCCAAGAAAAAAACTCATTTTTTGTATTTAGTTCACTGTAAATGAGTGGTAATACTATGAAGATGACCTTCTGGGGGTAGTTGTATGAGGTAATTGTGTCTTGAGGCACAGAACATGGTTCACTGTCCTGAAGAGACTTTAATAAATACAGAAATATAATTGAATATAAAGGGAAACCAAGAAACAAAAGGCAATTTTCACTCTCCTTTCTACCCTCCATTATAGCCTCTGCAGGCTCATCCCCAGCCACAGCTGTAGTGGCCTGCCTGCAGGTGACACTTTTCCCACACTACCCCCATGCCTGGGGGACTATAGAAACACTAGATGTGGATCCAGCTTTCCTCCTTTTTGTGGGCCCTCTCTCCCAGCCACAGCCAATTCCTATTCTTTTCTGACAGTCTCAACCTGAAAAACACTTAATACCTAGTTCCCCCAATGGGTATACCTGGCAGTGACTGAGGTATGCAATTTACACTATCCTTCCCCCTCCATTAAAATTTCCATATTCCATTCTCACCCTCAGACAGATTGCTTACAGATGCCCCTCCTGCCACCTCCAATTCCATTAACTAAAGACTCCAACTCTGAACCAAGCTTCCCAAGCTTTTCATCCCTGTCTCTCCAGATTATTCTTTGCCTTACTTCAACCTACTCCCTAGGACCCCCACCTCTTGATGTGAACAGGATACCCTTGCCTTTTTCCTGAAGCCCCTCCCTCTCAACCTTTAGTCCCGGTCAACCCTCCATTCCTCTCAGCAACCCATCAACCTGCAGAAGCACTGAATAGCAAGCAACCCACAGATACAACACTTTCCTAATACCCAAAAAAGGCAAAAAAAACCCAAAGAATGTAATAATTACTCAACAAATAAAAGACCTGATATCACCACCTAGAATCACCTCAATTATACTGATGCCGGATATCTAAACACTAGTACAAAAGCACAAACATCAACAGCCATGACAATATGCCTCCATCAGAACCCAGTAGCCTTATAGTATAGTAGGAACCAAGAAATGCAATATAGCTGAAGCACAAGACAAGGAAAGACTTCAAAACAGCTATTATGAAAAAGTCTTGAGCTCATTAGTACAGAGAAAGACTTTCTGAAGAGAACACTGTTAGCAGACACTAAGAATAACAAATGGGACCTCATGAAATCTAGAAGCCTCTAAATGGTAAAGGACACCATCATTCAGACAAAGCAGCAAAAAGCAGAATGGGAAAAGATATTTACCAACTACCATGTGACAGGGCTAATATCTAAAAGGTATAAAGAATTATAAAAACTGAACATCAAATAACACCAATATAAGGTTCAGAACCAGAGTTTCAAAAGATGAAATACAAATGACTGAGAATCACATAAAGAAATGTTCAAAATCCTTAGCCATCAGGAAAAAGCACTTTGAGATTTCATCTTATACAACTCAAAATGGTCGGAGATTAAATATCTACCAACAGATAGATAGATAACAAAAATATAGTATATTCAAAAAATGGCCTATTACTCAGCTGTTTAAAAGAAACACGGAATTTGCAAGTAAACATGGATGGAGCTAAAAAATTATCCTGAATAAAAGGTATCTAAAACTCCAAAAGTATGTTATGTATTCTTGTATATTTGGATGACAACCTTTAAGCCTTTGATAGGCATGCTACAATTCTTATAACCATAGATACAGTGGCAGCATGTACATGGCCTACACAGATTCAAGCCAGATGGGGTCCCAATGCTGAGTGAGGAAGTAGACAGAAGTTCCCATTCATAACTCAGAAGCTATTTCCAATTGACAACAACTTACAAAGAAAAATTTCTTTCCTCTAATGGAGTTTCACTTAGTACACAAAGCACACTTAAGGTCAGGCCCCATGCCCAGCAGTAGATGGTCAACACAAAACAAATTCATTGGTATTTTTAGAGGAGGAGAAGGTGTCTCACATTGCTGTAGTTGGTAATTATTTACTTTACTGGGCTTTTGCTTGTGTTATTACAGTTTCTAATTTTGTGTTTTTATGACGTGTGAGTGTGTGACTTTTTGTTGCCCATACTTTTTTTTATTCTGTTTTTATTTGCCCATTTATTTTCTAAAAAGAGGTAGAGAGAAGACATGGGTTTCTGGAAAGGTATGGGAGATCTGAGAGATGAGAAAGGGGGTATAGTGATCAGAATATATGGCATGAAAAAAGTTATTTTCTATAAAAAATAAATAGAAAATAAGTAAAATATTTTAGTTTGCTTTAATGTCAAAAACTAAATAAAAGTGATCTTCCTAAAATCATTTAAGTTTGGAAATAACTAAATAATACAAAAATGATCATACTAATTCCTGATTTAGGTGCTCATCTCTTTATCTATAGTCACTACATCCTCCTGTAGAACAATTAAGAACGAAAATGCAAATGAAGATCGAAATGTAAGCACTTAAGGTGAACTTTCTGACCAAAAAAATAAAAATACACCTTCAAACATACTATGACCAAACAGTAACTTTAAAGAATTGTAGCTAGGAAGGATGTTAACAGATTGAATAGGATCCAAACAATCCTGACCTCTGGTATAAGATCCTGACTTTGTAAGATATAATTTAGAAAGGCTATGTCTCATATATGAAACAAGGTGATTGAAAAGTAGAGTGGCATCTGGCAGTGGTAGCCCACGCCTTTAATACCAGCACCCAGAAGGCAGAGGCAGTGGGTTTCTGTGAGTTTAAGGTCAGCCTGTTCTATAAAAGCTACTTCTAGAACAGGCTCTAAAACTACACAGAGAAACCCTGTGTCAAAATAAAATAAAAAAAAAAAGAAGGCAAAATGGAACATAACATAGAGGCACTGACTGCTATGGGGTATGTGATAAAGTCAACTTTTGAACATGAAAAGCGAATTTAAAATGACAGAAAACAAAGTGTTCATTCTTTTCATCTTTAAGGCTGGGATTTTTTTTTTAAAATATTTATTTATTTATTATGTATACAATATTCTGTCTGTGTGTATGCCTGCAGGCCAGAAGAGGGCACCAAACCCCATTACAGATGTTTGTGAGCCACCATGTGGTTGCTGGGAATTCAACTCAGGACCCTTGGAAGAGCAGGCAATGCTCTTAACCACTGAGCCATCTCTCCAGCCCCAAGGCTAGGATTTTATTTCCCTTTTCATTTCAGCTATTTCAAGAGATCATATTTTTAAAAGCTTATAAGAATAGTTTGGGTGGAAAAAGCTTTTAATTAAATGGAAGAAAGGAAAAACAAAGGATAAAAAATTAAATCAGAATTTTTACTTGCTGCCGGGCGATGGTGGCGCACGCCTTTAATCCCAGCACTCAGGAGGCAGAGGCAGAGGCAGGCGCATCTCTATGAGTTCGAGGCCAGCCTGGTCTAGAAGAGCTAGTTCCAGGACAGGAACCAAAAGGCTACAGAGAAACCCCATCTCGAAAATCAAAAAAAAAAAAGTAAAAAAGGGGGAAATAATGGACATAAGTAATGAATGATACTTCCATGCACAGAAATGGAACAGAAAAACTCAATGTGTAAAAATAACATGTAACAATCATAAGAAAATGAAAAGAAAAATAAAGTTAAATGTTCATTAAGATGTGGGGGAGGAATCCAAAAGCATAATTTAGCTCAACACAAACTGGTAACTGGAAACAGGATGCTGCAGCAAAAGAAAACTAAGTGGGAAGGAGATTATGATTTGTGGCAGTTGTTTAAAAAATGAATGTCAATAATGTTTTGACTTTTTTTTTTATTAAAAAAGCCGCACGTTTATTTCGCTTTCTGACTCTGCGCTTGTGCCTTCAACACTTTCACAACGATTTTCTGCTCCTCAATAAGGAAAGCCCACTTGATCCTGTCACGAACACACTTGGCACACATGGAGCCACCATAGGCGCGGCTGACATGCTTCTTTGTCTTAGATAATCTCATGAGGACTTTCGGTCTCACAGCACGAACCCCTCGGAGTCGGCCTGGACACACACCGCATGCTGATTTAGGTGCTTTTCCAACCTTCTTGGTGTAAAGGTAAACAATCCTGTTGCCAGGGGTTCGAGACAGCCTAGTTTTGTTGGAGGCTGTGTTGTAGGAGAGCCTACGACGGTATGTCAAACGCTGGACCATCCTGAGTGCCTCTAAGCACCGTCCCCGAAGAGATGTTTTGACTTTTTTAACAGAAGTATACGGACACCATTAGTAGTGTGTAGACTGGAATGAAAGGGAATAAAATCTCTTGCATATAGGAATCATAAGGTTAAGAAACACTTATTGTAAACTTCAGCAACAGAAGAGACTAAAAGCTTTGAATGACAAAAACCAGTTAAAACTCAGTTCCATAGTATGCATCAATATAGGTACCTTTAATTTTTTATTATTTCATTAACTTTTCTATAAAAATAATTAAGATCTCTGTGTACATTATGATGAATGACTCAAAATAAGACTTGAATGGATTCAACACACGTAATTATTTCCTGGAAAATTTATGGATCCTTCACTAGCACTTGATGTACTAAATTTACTTGGAATCAAATGGAAGAATAAAGCAAGGCAAATATAAGCAGTGCATCTAATCTACAAAAAGAATTAGCAATATGGCTACTGATAATCAAAATCTAAATAAATTAATCAGCTAAAAAATTCATAAGCCAAAAACTAAATCTGTGCAAGTAAATAAAATAATTTTGGGGGCCAACCAGTGGTAGCACATGCCTTTAATCCCAGTGCTTCGGAAGTAAAGCAGGTGGATCTCTGAGTTCAAGGCCAGCTTGGTCTACATAGTGAGTACACGGAGAAACCCTGTCTCGAAAAACTAAAGAACTACAAAAAATAAAAAAATAATAATTCTGGGCTCTCCAGTTTTCTTTAGAATGTATACCAGGTGTGGTGTCAATTTGCCTTTTATCCCAGAACCCAGGAGGCAAAAGCAACAGATCTCTTGTGAGTTCAAGACCAGCCCATTTACATGGTGAGTTTCAGGTCAACCAGAGCTATATAGTAAGACCCTATCTCAAAACACCAAAACAAATAAGAAAACCAAAAACAATGCAGGACAAAAAGTCACTCACTATTCATTAATTCCAACGTCAAATATGGCCAAGGAAAAAGAAAGCTTTAGAATCATTGGCTAAGAGTCCCCAGATAGTTCCATAAATAGCTAAGAGACCAACAATAGAATGTATGACCTCAAGATCTCAGAAATGCTACAGATCAGTAATTTTTTTCTTCTATATTCCTATATTCTAAGCGGGAATTTTATTATTACTTTTTTTAAGATTTATTTATTTATTTATTTACTTACTTACTTACTTTTAATGTTTTGCCTGTATATACTCTGTGTGAGGGTGTCGGATCCCCTAGAACTATCAACTATAGACAGCTGTGAGCTGCCATGTGGGTGCTGGGAATTGAACCCAGGTCCTCTGGAAGAGCAGTCAATGCTCATAAACCTCTGAGCCATCTCTCCAGCCCCCTTATTATTACTTTTCATCTACTCCATGACTAAACTGAGCTGCAGGCATGGTATGAAGGCTTTTAGTTTTAGACCTCCAAGATTATGTGTGTGTATGTATACACACATATATATACATACATACACACATGTATGTATATGGATTCAGTATCTACATATTACCCAGAAATATTGGGCTTTGCAGTTACCTCTTTTGGAGTAAGAGCTCGTGCTAGCAGTTTAACTTTGGGAAGGAGATAACACTGAACACAGTTCTTATTCTTAGTCCTATCAAAGTATTTCCAACTTTCTATTTTCTAGACACTGAAAGGCTCTAGTGGGATTTGCTGTGGTAAGTAAAATGAAAAGGAAAATGGTTAATTGTTCTCTCTAGTGCCAGCACACCATACAGTTTCTGCCTTGCAATCATGAATGAAGGCCACATCTGAGTCCCTAAGCATGCTCTCCTACAGACCTCCCCTGTGCCCTAACTATACAGTATATAAGCTATTCATACACATTATTATTAAATACCTACCAGGTTTGCTGTAGATACAGTTGTGGTATATACACTGGAAGTTTCATAGCCTTGTTCTAGAGGATATAGCCAAAGCAAAAAAAATGAGCATTATTTTACTTTAACATAAATAAACAATGAAGAATATCAAATTAAATCTATATTTCACTGACCTGAAGAATAAAGATAATCTCCATGATATCCTCCTAGAAAACAGAAATGTGTGTACACAGATCTTTTTAAATTGGCAGAGTAAAATGTCCAGTTTGGGCATATTTTCAAAACTAAAATATATGACTTAGTCATTTGAGCCTTCTTAGTAGTCAACAAAAGACAAAGTAAGCTGTCAATAGTACAAATCTCTCCTCAAAATTCCCTGAGATAAGTAGCAGAGACAATTTTAGAAGTATCTTATTAATAAAGTCACTCAAAATGTCTCACACACCCTTACAGTACATAATTCTCCAGAATAGTTCAATAATAATGTGTCATTGACGGGTAAATAGTAAAAATAAACAAATGCCAAACAAAGAAAAGTAGCTATTTTAAGTATACATAGAGACAAATACAAATCATAGTTTGGGTATAAATGAGGAATGGTCTTTGGGAAAGGATGAGATTGTAGAGCAGATTATATGAATACATGCAAACATGCACACACACACACTGAATTGTACACTGAGTAAGTAAATTGTTTTGGTATGTAAATTTTTATCAAGTTAAATATGTGTCAGTGCCATTATCAAGAGTATAGCCTTTACCATTTCGTCGACTTTTGAACCTCAATTTCCTCACATATAATAAAGAAATGCCGTATTTCCCATAATTATCATAAAGACTGTGAATAAATTATAATCATTTACTAGAATAGATGGTAGATAGCATTCAATAAATGTTAAAATGTTTTCAGTTCAAGTAAGAACTTTTGGGGTCACATGGGTCTTGAGATTTGAACGCCAGTCCTCGGGATTGCCTGGCAAGCACTTTATCCGTTGAAGCATCTCACCATTCCTAATACTTCTTTCAAGTTATCAGAAAGGTATGAAACTCCCAAAATAATATTTCCAAGTTCTGATAAACAAATGCAACAATCAACTTTTCAAAAATTACTAAGCACTAATTCACTCACCGTTGCCACACTGGTCAGTGCTGTTTTCTGAATTCAAAGTTGGTTTGCATGAGTTATATCCCTGACTTGCAACACGGTATCCTGAAGTAACAGGAACCATTGAAGTGGAATCACCACTGCTCTGTACCAAAGAAAGACAAATGCACATGTATTTGTCAGAGAAAAGTTTGGAAGGGTATTCTAAACGTCAGTGAAAGACACTAAATTTTGAGTTAATACCGTAAGATTAATGTCGCTACTTTAATACTTTAGAGTCCAAAAGAGGTGAAGCAATAAAAGAAAAATGTTAGTTTCCTTATACCGCAGACGGTCTAAACCACTATCTTCTCAGTAACAGCTCCAAAATATGTATTCTTAACTATAAATCGCTAAGGTAATGACTTCATAGTTTCTGAAGATTTTATTTTATTTCATATTTCATATGAAAAATGTTAAAATTAGGGCTGTGGATGTATTATAGAGGTAGAATACTTTACATATGCAAAGCCTAGTTTTGATCCTAGGGGTGGGGTTAAGTGTAGAAATCATATATGATATATAACACACATACACACACACACAAAAAAAAACACATTTCACCATATAGCATTTTTAAAAAAAAAAGAAAAATCTTTTTCAGTAAAGTTATCACACACTTACAGGTAAAGTTGCATTCTCATTCCCTTCAGGTGCATAAAATGTAACATTTTCTTCCACGCCATTCTTAGGAACAAAACCATACTGACATTCCTTATTCATGCATTCCATCTGACGGTGGCTACGCCTAAAAGAACTTAAGTTTGGAAATCAAAATGGGAGAATAAGTTAAAATATGACAGTAATTTGCTTCTAATTTTTCAGTGAAGACAAGTATCTGCTAACAGATGCTTTTGGGTTTAATTTATGTGTATGGGTATGAGTACTTTGCTCACTTGTATATCTGTACACTATGTGTATGGTGTCTATAGAGATCAGAGGATCCCCTAGGATTTGAATCCTGTTCTCCAGAACAACAACTAATGTTTTTATTCCTTAAGCCATCTCTCTAGCCCCAAACTAAGGTTTTAGAAAGATGGTACATATTATCATTGCTTAGCAAAAAAACTACCCACACCAATTTTTTCTCAACTTTTAATACTTCAAATTCTTACCGAGACCTATAGGAGACATTATCATAGTTCTGGCAGCACCTTCTACCTTGGCCAGGGTAAAATCCAACTTTAGGATTTGGCATGTTTTGCCTGTTTACTAAGTGAGACGAATCCCTAAAAATAAATAAAAAAAAAAGAAATACCTAACTCTTGCAAGTCTCAATAGTTAAGTAGAATTAACATAGTATCTGAAAACATTCAACTAGAAAGACTTTTGTAATGGTATTGGGCCTATCAAATACTAATAGAGACACAGGCATATTTCATATAGACACTTGTTTCTGATGGCATTCTATCTTTAAGCATCTAAGTGTTCACATTTTTGTAGACAATGAATATATAGTTATGCCAAAGGATGACAAGGATAACTATGTGTCAGCTCCATGCTATCTTTTGGCACAAACTATAGAAGCTATATTTGTCAATTATACTATAATTCTGTATGGTAATTATTTCTAAAAACCAAAACAATGGCATACATTATCATGAAAATCAATTAATTCTTACCTGGGCATCCCATATCCCCGACCTTGTCTTTGAGATGAATGTTGAGGGTAGAAATGTTCACTAGACAAAATTTGGCCAGCTGTCTGTGAATAGTACAATAGTGGGTCATGCCCAAAATGCATACTATGCTGAATTCTGGGTGGGATAAGCGGGTCTCCCCTGCTATAAGCCATGGTCATATAAACTTCTTTTCCTCGAACTTTCTTGGACATCTTCTTCCGTTGCTTCATGTTCATATCTGTCAAAACTTTCAAAAAATGAATAGTAAATAAGCATTATATCCAAAGTAAATGGTTATGTTCATCTATCCTCATCATACCTTAAAACTGTCACATAGGCCGGGCGGTGGTGGCGCACGCCTTTAATCCCAGCACTCGGGAGGCAGAGGCAGGCGGATCTCTGTGAGTTCGAGGCCAGCCTGGTCTAAAAGAGCTAGTGCCAGGACAGGAACAAAAAAAGCTACGGAGAAACCTTGTCTCGGAAAAAAAAAATCCAAAAAAAAAAACCTGTCACATAGATACTTTTCTTAGAAACAAAATAAGTATGGAAGTATGAAGTAGAAATTGATGCAGTTTTTCAAAGATATTAATTGGAAGGGCCAAAGAAACAGTTCACTTCTGTGTTGATGGGTGTTTTAAATAGTATTTCAACCCTCTCTTTAATACTGGCAGATTTGGTCATCAGAAATTAGTCATCTAGTCACCCAAATTATTTTTCTCTAAAAAAATACGTTGAATACATCTGGTTGCTTTTATGAGATGTCTTCCTAACTCTTTGAAAATACTTAAACTCTGTTTATGAGGTAGTCTAAAAAGTGGTTTCTCAAACAAGGACAATGCTGTCACCTGCCTCCTACAAGAGTATATCTATTAATGTCCAGAGACAATTTTATTGTTATGACTAAGCAAAATAGCCTATTGGTACCAATGGTATAGGCATCAAGGATCAATCTAGAATATACAGGATACCACTCTTCTCTCCACCAAAGCATTAGCTATCCTAGCACAGCATTGTGCAAGAAATGTTACTCTACAACGGAACATATGACATACCTTTGGAAATTATAATGTAAGAAAACTGAAATATAAAATTAAAAAATAAAAAGAAAACCAGTTGGGATACAAACCTATTTGTGGGAAATAGCCTCCAGTTATAGCCTGGTAACCTCTTCCTTTACGGGTTGGAATAGTAATCCAGGAAGGAAGAAGTGCCACTTGGTTGACTGGTTTTACATTAGTCATCGGAACTGCATGCCTTGATGTGAAAGATATCATGAAGCCATTATAGCACACACCTAGCTCTCACCCAAGTAAACAATGTAGCCTTCCTGCTTCAGTTTTAAGCACATTTCCTTTTTCAGTTTTCCTTGGCTGGCCTGGAACCCACTGCCTCAAGCTGAGATATTTGCCACTTCAGTCTCCTGAGTGTGAGAAATAAGGCACAAGCCTCGACCCCTGACTCAAGTGCATTTTCTTTAAGTCTTTTGTTACACTAGCTTTCCTATACACTTGTTAGTTTATATACTTTTACAGCCATTTAGTGTCTATCACATCCAGAATATGATGATAGGTTGTATTAACTCACAAAAATCTGCTTTCTTTCCATGAAAGAAGATCATTATTTACTAAGCAGACTCCTATCAGATGTGGGTATATAAATTACACTTACTTTGACCAATTAAAAAGTGAAATGTTTTTGGAGTATCAAATTGCCATGTCATGGTCTTATTTTCTATATCTGTGATCATGAAAGCATGTTTCAAAACAAAACCTTTAGCAAGAATCTGACCTTCAAGCTCAAGACCAGAATGGAAAACTAGTTACTGTCTCAAAATAAAAAGTAGTAATGTACATACAAATACTGAAAATGTAATATATTTAAGAATATATACATATGTGCATGTAACAATTAATAAAAAAAGAAGAGAAAGTATATGGGCAAGTTTAGAGTGAGATAAGTGAGAAATGATGTAATTAAATTCTTGTCTCAAAAAAATTAAAAATAGTAAGGGCTGGGAAATAGTCAGGTAAACTGCTTGTCTAGTAAGTATAAGGTCCCAGGTTTAATACACACTGTTGGAGGATGTGTGTCACTGTAGGTGGGCTTTGAGGTCTCATATATGCTCGAGTCATACTCAGTAAGACAGATTACTTCCTGTTGCCTGATGAATCAAGATGTAGCAGCTCCTTTTCCAGCAATATAGTTGCCTGTACACAGCCATGGTCATCCCTGACACCCCCATGATGATAATGGACTAAACCTCTGAAATGTAAGCAGCCACCTCAATTAAATGCTTTCCAAGACTGGTCATTGTGTCTCTTCATAGCAATAGAAAGCCTAACTAAGAAACACAGACAGAAACTCAACAACTCACTTTTCAAATTATCATGAATATTACATCAAAATTCTGTTGGACTTGATCTATCAAACTGTCCAATGTCTAGAATGGAGAATTTTTATATGAAACAAATTTTAATATTTTACTTCTCAACATTGACTTTGATTAAGCAAAATAATTAGTTTAGCAGATACAATTGAGTTTCTTTACTAGAATCCTGATAATTCTCAATCTAATGAGCAAACACCTATTAAATTTAATTACTATACAATCTTACTTTTCTGCCAGTTCCTCAATGAAAACTATTAGTGAGTTTTTGTCACTTTCAATTTCTTGAATATGAGCATTATAATATTTTCCATCTGGTTCCAAGCAAACCTGAAAGATAGGAAATAGTAGTTATATAGTAATTCATCTGGTCTTATCCACTGACAAATGTGTTTAGCCAAATAACCATTTCTCTCTAAATGTAATTCAATGTCTACTTTTGCAGATTTATCTATCTATCTATCTATCTATTTATCTATCTATCTATCTATTATGCATGCAGTGTTCTACCTACATGTGTGCCTGCATACCAGAAGATGGAACCAGATCTCATTACAGATGATTGTGAGCCACTGCATGGTTGCTGGGAATTGAACTCAGAACCTTTGAAAGAGCAGTATTCTTAACTGCTATGCCATCTCTAGCCCCAATGTCTGCTTTTTTAAAGTAACTGAGATCATAGCCAGTATATGAGACATATATCAATTCACATCAAATTATCACAAAATCAATAATTAAAATTTAACACAATACAAAGAAATCTTTCTTCTAGCATTTTGTAAAGGAGTCTTCATCAACGTTTTTGCTGTTGAGCTGGGCATACAATCGAGAGCCTTAGACAGGCTGGCCAAGTATTCTACAACTGAGAGCTATACCCTCAACCCTTGTTTTTTCAGACAAAGTCTGAAAAAGCTCAGCCTGGCCTTGAATGTATTATTCTCATTTCTATGGTTCCTGAGAGATAGGATAACAGACGTGCATCACAATGCCCAGGATAATCAACTCATGTTAATGGTTAAAGATACAAATCATTATCTTTAAAGAAGGAACTGACCTGACACTTGTCCCCTAAATGGTAAAGTCTTCCAGCATATTCTATGCAATCAGGTTTTTGAAGTTCTATTAAAGAAAAAGATTAAAAGTTCAATTTAATTGAATTCTTTTTCTTACTGCACATTATTTAATTACCTCATTTACTTTAACACAATGTATTTAATGATGCTGTTAGTAGAAGAAATGTCCCAAAGGGTCATTCTAACACCCTTGATGGGTTATTGCTATGGTCAATTTATTAAACAGACCTGCAAAATCAGTTCCGCAATTTAAATTTAAAGCACACTTAGGTAAAAATTTGTAGTTTCAGATTTGGTTAAACACAAAAGTCACAATTTGAAAGTAATACCAAGAAGCCTCATGCACATGTGTGTAAGTACTTATAAGTATTTCTTTTACTTTATGTTATACAAGGTCTTAACTTTCATTCTAATTAACCATGCTGAATTCATCAAACTTCAAGAAGTTGAATGTGAGATATTATCCCGTGCAAGCAGTATATTAACAGCTAGTTTGATGAATTCAATTATATATAATCTACACAAAACAATTTACATTAAGAGTTACTTTTATTAAAAGTTATTTTCATAAATATGTCCTATAAAGAGCCAGACAGCCAATTTTAGATATTTTGCGTCACTAAACTTTCAAAATGAATCAATTCTCTGTTGGTGAGGGCACTTGTTATTGAACATTTAAAATTTGTCCTCTAGACTGGATGATGGTGGCAAAAATCTTTAACTCCAGCACTCTTGAGGTAGAGGTAGAAGATCTTGAGTTCACAGCCAGCCTGGTCTACAAAGCAAGTTCCAGGAGAGCCAGGCTACACAGAAAAATTCTGTCTTGAAAAATCAAATAACGAGGGTACAAAATTTGTCTTCCCATGCAATGCACCTTTAGTACTGAGTATACATAGATATGTAGGTGAAAATGAATAAAATTAATAAAAATATTCCATTCTTAAAATATTTAATAAACACTGAGTTATATAATTTTCATGTCTCAAAAAAAGTAAATAATAAAAAATAAAAATTGCAAATATCATTCTCAGCTCATGGATGGAACAAACAAAAATGTGTGAGGTCAGAACTCATTCACTGTCCTGATTTATTTATCAATCAACATAATCATAATACTTAAATTTTGGATAAGTTTTTTTCCATTCACTAAACATCCATTGTACTCTTGAAGTTACCTACAGGTTTTCCCTGTACATTATCATAGTTTTAGTCCCAGGTAAATATATAGCTCCATTTATAAACCTACTTTTCATAGATTTAAACCACATACAGGTAGTAGTAGTAGGCTCCTTTGATCTTTTTTATTTAAACAGTGTGGTAGTTTGAAATTTAGTTTGTCCCCCATAATCTCATAGCGAGTGGCACTGTTAGGAAGTGTGATTTTTTGGGGGCAAGTGTGTCACCTTAGAGGCGGGTCTAAGGTCTCATATATGCTTGAAGCACGACCAATGAGACAGATCACTTCCTGTTATCTGTTGGATCAAGATGTATCAGCTCCTTCTGCAGTACCATGTCTGCTTATAGGCCACTATGCTCCCCACCATGGCCATAATGGACTAAACCTCTGAACTTTAATCAAACCACCCAAATTAAATGTTTTCCTTTATAAGGATTGCTGTGGTCATGTCTCTTCACAGCAACTGAAACCCCAACTAAGACAAACTGTTTGATGAAAGCATGTCTTCTAAGAAATAACTTACAATATGATCTCTTGTATCTATTGGGATTAAGAGTTACCCTGCTGATACATTATTACCTTTTCTACTGTCCAACCAAGCATCAAATTCTATATTGCGATAGATTTCTGGAGCTAGACCTTTCAGCACTTTATAAGGAAAGGGAATCTTCGATGGAGTTTCTGGAGACTGAAACAAAATTAGTAATGCTATAAACTCATCATCTTTAAAGTCATCCTTTTATGAAAAATGAATCAAAGTTCATCTCTTCTTTTTTAAAGTGTACATAATTCCCCTTTCCATTGTCATTAAAACAAAAAAGCACAAAAATTTACCATGTATTTAAAAACAAGAGACTAAAAGAGCAAAATGTGTCTAAAATCAAGTAGGTTTTACATATAGAAATATTTCTTCTCTTTCTTCAACTTTTAAGATGATTAGCATGTAATTTTGTAATTATAGGTCACTTGATAAAAATGAAGCAATATCAGAATATTGACTACATAGGTCACTTGATAAAAATGAAGCAATATCAGAATATTGACTACAAAGTATTAAATTTATAATACTTTAATTTCAAAATAAAAGTTTCTAAAATACTTTGAGTGTTCAGAGTTAATTTTGAAAATTCTACTACTTAAGAATAAAAATCATCGAGCTGGAAAGATGGCTTAGTGGTTAAGAGCACTGGTTGCCTTTCTAGAGGTCTTAGGTTTAATTCCCAGCAACCATATGGTGGCTAGCAACCATCCATAATGAGATCTGGTGCCCTCTTCTGGCCTGCAGGGAGACTTGCAGGCAAAATACTGTATACGTAATAGATAAATAAAATCCTTTAAAAAAAATAAAAATTATCACAAAGTACATATTTTACATATTTAGAAAAGTAGGATTTCCACAGAGGAAAAAATATTATTCTTGGCTCTAGATAATTAGAATGGACTATTTTGTTTTAATTATTTTAAGTTATGGTGCTCTAAGACAAGTGTATGAACATTCTCTGCCTGAGAAAGTATCAAACCTTCTGTTCTTCTGTTCCTTGCTTACTGTCTTCTGGTGTATTTTCGATACTGGAGCTGGCACCAATCTCTTTGATTCTAATTGAAAAGATTCAGAGAAAACATTATATAAATGCAGCAACTGTTTCTCTATGTCTCACCTACGTCACACCACTCAGTGGTAATTCTAAAAAATGAAGCAAGTTTTCAACACATCCTCATTAGGTTTCTATGTTAAGTGTGTATTAAAAAATACTTAGCAGATTACTTTCTATTAAGATGGTCCTGTGATCCTCACTTTTAAATGTTCACAGCTTCTGATTCCTCTGCCATCAAGCTGCTTCTAATCATAGAGAACTTATGTAATCGCATTACAAATAGACACATACACAAACACCCCATATTGCCCACCCATTTTGATGTTATCTTTTTCCCCTGTTGCCAGTATAAAAAAGTAGCCATGTTCATAAAATTCAGAGTAGGTCACTCTTCCTATCAGTCAACAACAAAAAACTAAACCTATCAATTAACCAGAAAGAATAAAATGCTACCAGGCACCTTGAGTGTGTATTTCCCAAATCCAGTTAAGAACTCAGTCCTGGACAGCTTCTTCATTACAATCTTGTGACATGATTAATAGAAGTATAAGCTAAGCCATGACATTATTTCTAAACCACATGAGCATCAATGAGTTGTTTAAAGCTGGCAACTTTGTAGTAATATTGCCTCTTAACGACTATAGCTTCCATAAATCCAAAGCCCTTAAAAATTAGCAAAAAATGAAGAAATCTTCACTTGGACAAAAAAACTGTTGCCACTGCTCATGCTCCCAAATAAGCTTTAAAAAAAAATATTCTTCTGATGGTTCAGTGGGTACAAGTACTGGCTGCTAAGCCAGATACCTGACCTGGATGTTATGTTGTCTTCTTAAAGCAGATTCTTAAACCCAGCCTGACCTCATATGTTATGACAAAAGGTACAGAAATCTGTCTAATCAACAAATAACTTATATATAACTAAATTTGGAGAATACTAATTCTAAAGTCTCTTCTAGAAAAAAACGATGATTCTAACTTTAACTGAACTCTAAGTCTAAGCATTTCTTACAATACAATTTGGTAAACTTTTGTCTTCCAATTAAAAACAATTTATACCTAGCATACATAAATGTGCACGCATACATAAATGTGCACATATGTAATCGGGCTATTTCTACTTTCAGATGCTAACTCAAAGAAGTATGAAATCATAGAGTTGACAACCCTTAATCATAAGAGTTGACAACCTTTTTCTTTCAGTACCTATCCTCAGTTGAGCTTTTCTGATCAGTACTGGCTTCTATATTTCCAGTCAAAGCATGATTTTTGTTTCTCCTGGAACCAATTCGAAACAAATCAACTGCAGTTTTCAATAGTTCTTCATCCACAGCAAATACATCTTTATAAAGCATTTCATATAATATAGCTGAAGGAAGAAAAAGAACCAAAATCAGAATTGTCATAACAATGTTAAAACATTCATAAGCCAGCATTTAGGTTCTATAGGTGGCAACAATGTTTTAAAAGTCCTTCAGTTTAAAGACTGGTAACAAATCATCTGAAATCACACCCATACATTTACTTATTATACCTTGGCAAATTCCTGCAGTTGATTGAAATTCTTTTGAGTACAAAGAATCATAGTGGCCATTATTTGAATAACAGAGAAGAATCTAAAGAAAAACATACAGAATAATTGTTATTGTTAACATATCTTTTGTAACCATAAAATTAAGATGGAAATCAGCAGTTAATAAACTAAATTGAATTTTATTCTAAAAAGACATTTAGCAAATATAGAAATAAGAAAATACAATCTACACTTCAAAAAGAAACTATGACTTTTATGCAACAAGATTGAAAACACCAGCCTCAATCACATTCCTGAAATTCACTAAAGTCCTGACTGATAGATTTGCATTAAGATAGAATTTTTCACAAATTCAATTGCTGAACAAAACAGAAAGCCTAATAGATGTCGGAAGCCCAATCTTAATTTCTCGGAATAACTGGAGAAATTATGTAAAATATCCAACTATCCAAAATCTAGACAGAGTGAAAAAGGACAAACATTAAACAATTTGTTCAAAAGGGTAAAAGAAGGTCCAAATGAGGAGCAGAAAGAGGGAGAACAGGATCAAGGAAGTCAGGACCCCGAGGGGTGTGTCCACCCACTGAGACAATGGAACTGATCTAATGGGAGCTCACCAAGGCCAGCTGGACTGGGACTGATGGATCATGGGATAAAACTGGACTCTCTGAATATGGCTGACAATGAGGGCTGACTGAGAAGCCAAGGACAACGGCACTGGGTTTTGATCCTACTGCATGTACTGGCTTTGTGGGATCCTAGGCAGTTTGGATGCTCACCTTCCTAGACTTGGATGGAGAGGGGGAGGACCTTGGACTTCCCACAGGGCAGTGTACCCTGACTGCTCTTTGGACTGGAGAGGGAGGGAGAGGGGGTGTGGGGGAGGGGAAAGGAAATGGGAAGAGGGGAGAAGGTAGAAATTTTTAATAAAAAAAAAGGTAAAAGAAAAATCACTGCAGAATAGAATATGAAGAATATACTATGGAGAAAGGACATTTCCAGAAATAGGTAGGATCCAGAAGCTTGGTGGTGATCAACTAGCTGAAAAGACAAGCTTCAGGTTCAGTAAGAGACTCTGTCTCTCAAAAATGAGGTAGAGTGGGCTAAAAAAAATGACTCAGTTGTAAAGAGCATTTATCACTGTTGCAAAGGAACCTGAGTTCAGTTTCCAGCATGCACATCAGGCTACCTACAACTGACTACCTATTAACTCCAGCTCCAGGAGATCTGACACCCCTGGCCTCTGCAGGCACTGGCACTCTTCTGCCCACAAACCACACAGATGTACACACATAAACACAATTAAAATTTAAGTCTCTTTTAAAAATAGCATGGAAACAGGAAGATTCCTAAGATCATCTTTTGGCCATCACAAGTACATTGGCAAATGTACCCACAAACAAACATGAACACATGCATACACACACATACACATGATATTTTAAAATTTAAAAAGAAAACAACAAAATACACTGGCAGGTTTTATGTAAACATGGGGCATCTGAACTCGGGTATACATGTGTGCCGAACAAACACGTTACTCATGGAATCATTTATACATCTATTGTTTTCTTGATGATAGCCATTCTGCTTGATATAAGATGGAGCCTCAAACCCATTGTAATTTGCATTTATCTCATGGCAATGGATGTTTAACATGTTTTAAAATATTTTATTGGACACTTGTGTTTCTTCTCTTGAACTATCTGTTCAGTTCATTAGTCCATTTATTAATGGGAATTTTTTAATCCATATAGTCTATATATTAATTCTGTTTGATAGGTAGTTGGCCACATTTTTTCCCATTTTAGAGGCTTTTTTTAAAGATTTATTTATTATGTATACAACATTCTGCCTCATGTATGCCCACACGCCAGAGGAGGGCACCAGATCTCAGTACAGATGGTTGTGACCCACCATGTGGTTGCTGGGAATTGAACTCAGGACCTCTGGAAGAGCAGTCAGTGCTTTTAACTGCTGAGCCATCTCTCCAGCCTCGAGAGCATGGTAGGCAAATATTGTGCATTTAAGCAACACCTTTAGCCCCAGAATCTGTAAGATTTATATTTGATCTTGTGAGTTTGAGACCAGTCTGGTCTACAGAGTGAGTTCCAGGACAGCCAGGGCTACACAGAGAAACCTTGTCCCTTGTTTCAAAAAAGAAAAAAAAGATTAAACTCTACATTCCTACTAGTGCGCTTCCTCATGCTGGGAGAAAGGAACCTACATACATTATACTAGTGGAAATGTAATCCAGTACAAAATACTACGGAAATCAGTATGGCAGATCCTCAAAAAACTAAAACTAAACTGTTGCGGGAGGTCCTTCTGCTCCTCCAGCCTATAGCCGCTGAGATACCAGCCCATTGGGGCGTGGTCTCTCTCCCTTTAAAAAAGGGGCTACTCTTCCCTTCTCTCTCTCTTCTCTTCGCTTCGCTTCCTGCTGCGTTTCCTGCAACTAGACTCCTTCCTGATTGCGCAGAGGGCTGTTGTCTGGGACGGTTATCTGTAAGTTTTTTCCCCTTTAAATAAATACCACCCTATTAATCATAATTCCAAACTGGTGTGGGATTCTGAATTTTTTCTTAGAGCGTAATTCATAGAATAATATTGTGAATATCTGTATATTCACCATCTAGTAGTTCTTATCATTGTTTGTGACTTACGCCTTCACTAAACTACTATATGAATCAGCTATATATCACTCCTGGGCATATACCCAAAGGACTCTAAGTAAATATATTACAGATAGTTGTACATCCATGTTTACTCTGCACTACTCACAAAATTGAGAAATTGACCCAGCCTAGACATCTGCCAATAGATGAAAACAGACAAAGAAAATGTGGTACATGTATACCACAAAGTTTTAGTCAGTCATAATGAAATCATAGAATTTCTAGGAAAATGGGTATAACTGAGGTTGTTACATTAGGCACAATAAGCAAGACTCAGAAAGAAAAATACATTTACTCCCATATGCAGAATCTAGATTTCGATTTATATGTGTGTGTCATGAAAATAGAAAGGAGATCATGAGCAGGAAGAAAGAAAGCTTAAAAGAGTGGGGGGAGAATGAGGCTAAAATTCATATGAAATAAAATCAGGAGACACTCTGCATGAGGAAGCGCACTAGTACAGTATAGAAGTGGAAGATGTAAGGTAGCAGGGAATGGGAATAAATTAGAAAAAAAGCTATCATGAAACACACACATGAAAATACCATAATGAAATCACACATTTTGGATGCTAACAAAAAATTCAATGAATGGAAAAGTTCTTTGGAGTTCAACCAGACAAGTTTTCTTAATTTCATTTATTTATGTTAATTTTGTAGGCTTTGGAATGGATCTCAAATTTATTTTACTGTTTATTTAACACTCATTTATTTTCTGTATTAAGTATACCGCATTTTCCATGGGCAATGTTTCCTCTTATTATCAAACATTTTGATTATTTACACACTGTGAATTTAAGGGACTCCAGAAATGGATTAGAGATGAAGAGCACTCAGGCAAAACATATACATAAAATAAAAATTATGCCAGCTCTGTACATTGCATAATTAGAAAGATTTTATATAGATACATTAAAAAATGAAAAGCAATGCAATACAGCAATGGAAATTAGATATTATATATCATTTTCCTAATTATATACTAACCGTATGCATGTCTCAAATATGCTACTTAAGCTTGTACATACAACATTCTCATTATTTCTATATTCTTACGGTTCTAACAGACAACAGTTCCCACTATGTCGATATCCACAAAATGAACAAGACTCATTTAAAAATGTAACAGTACAATGATAAGAACTACTAGATGGTGAATATACAGATATTCACAATATTATTCTATGAATTATGCTCTAAGAAAAAATTCAGAATCAAGCATAGGGAAATATAAAGTTTGAAGATCCCTGAATAGGATCTAAATTTCCAAATCTCATCTGAAGCTGTCTACTGCTCAAATATACACAAGAACATGCTATTTCTTCAACAATTTTGATTATTTCATACTTTCGCTTAAAATTTTTAAAGTTAGTATTAAGAGGTAAGTGCACTGATGTCCAAAATTTACTTCAACTAAGATTTTTTTAAAAAAAAATGGATTGGTGAATTTATCGAGAGGGAAATATATGCGTTAAGAGACTAGTCGTGGCAGGCACATGAATGCTTCTTAATTCCTTTGTCTAAGTTTGAAAATTTTCATAATAACGAGAAAAGCTTCATTTGGTTAAATATTCTGTACAATGAAAAGACTAATTTTCAACAAGGCCTATTCTACCCCTCATTATTCAGCTCTAGCCTATATTTCTGTGCACTCCCCTCCACATTCAATTAATTAAATCCCCAAAGGGTATCTTGCTTCCATGCCTTTGCATATAAGGTTCCCCATGAAGAGACAGACCTTCACGTTTGATGGACTTAGTTTTTTTAATGTGTCACTACCACAATGAAGCATTCTAACTTGCTTAAGTGGGTATCTTCCTTCTATGTCCATTTTATGCATTACTTGTAGTATGAAACTAATCATTTAATTGTAATTAACTATTTCATGAAAGTCTTTATACCCCCCTAAAGCTCCTAGGAAAAAGATTTTATTAATCAAGTACCGGTATCCTCAAAGTCCAGAAAAACATTTGTTAATACTAAAAGGGCACCATGTTTGCTGAACGGATTAGATGATCGCCACTGGTAAAATAAGTGACCCCATTTATATTTTTCTAAGGCATCTCCATCTCCAGTCAGTTATCTCTAATCCTAATACCACTTCCTTAGTTTAGATCTTTTGCCTAAATTACTATAACACCAAAGTTCTCATGTCTATTCTTGTCATCGTAAACTATTGCCAGAATTATGTTTCATGGTCTGAAATAAGATTTCAAAACTGAAATATTGCAGTCCCATATTTACTGACTGAGTACATAAAACCCTTTTCTTTTCTTTTTTTTTTTTTTTGATTTTTCGAGACAGGGTTTCTCCGTAGCTTTTGGTTCCTGTCCTGGAACTAGCTCTTCTAGACCAGGCTGGCCTCGAACTCACAGAGATCCGCCTGCCTCTGCCTCCCGAGTGCTGGGATTAAAGGCGTGCGCCACCACCGCCCGGCCTTAAAACCCTTTTCTTAAAAACCTTTTGGGATACTCTGTTGGAAAAGAAAGTCGATTACCAGCTGAGCATTTTGAAACACAACTACTTTGGGCTATTTTCTAAGCACTTTACTACAATGTAAAACCCTCAAGATACTTTGCAGGTGAGGAAAATAGAAATGTAAAAATGAAGAGATAAAACTACATGACTTGGAAACCAACCAGGGAATAAACAGAAGAAAAGAGCTTCAGGGAAGTTGGGAATGTTTCCAAGAAATTAACAATTAAAGGATGAAACAATGGACTGTGGGAAAGTTAAACTAGCATGTAGTTTATGTCATGTAGACTAAGGATAAAAGATAATGAAATGAGCCGGGCGATGGTGGCGCACGCCTTTAATCCCAGCACTCGGGAGGCAGAGGTAGGCGGATCTCTGTGAGTTCGAGACCAGCCTGGTCTACAGAGCTAGTTCCAGGACAGGCTCCAAAGCCACAGAGAAACCCTGTCTCGAAAAACCAAAAAAAAAAAAAAAAGATAATGAAATGACACTGAACTCCTAACTTCCTCTGGTCAATGAGGAGCCAACTAGGGTTTTATGTAGTTTTGTGGGTGATAAGAACAATCTGTTTAAAAGGTAGCTAATACCAATGAGAATGACAAACTAAAGAGGAAAAGGCTGCTAGCATACATTATTACCAGTTAGACAATGTTTATTAGGTGACTCAATAGCACAATGGTACCACATTGGGCTTCAAGATTAGGTTTACTGTTTCACTAATTATGTCAGAAGGCTTATTTCTTAGTATTGTAGTAAACCAGCAGCATCATTCAACTATATTTCAGTCAACATTCATTTTCTTACCTTTTTTTCAAAGCCATTATCTGTGACATGTATTGGTGGCTTTCCAGGATACCGGTAAAGAATGAAATCTCGACTACAGGTAGAAAACAAAGGTAGGTGGGAAGAGATTACTTAGTATATACATAAGATAGCTATAACTGTAAGACTTTTCTTAATTTACCCATGAAGTTTTATTATCAAAACCTAATGTGAACATTTGAAGGATCATTCAATTATTGAAGTATCTAAAATTTTTCGTTCTAACTTTACAATAGAAATGACACTACCCTAGTGACAACATATTTTTTAAAAAGTCAAGCATTCATAAGTTTTAAAAGACAGCTATCCTGGTTTCCTACTGGAAATATTACCAGTATAGCATTTTTAGCCTCTTAGTTTGTATTGAGATAACATCTTGTGTACCCCAAGGTGGTCTTAAACTCAGCATCATCTTGCCTCAGCCTCCCTTGCTCAGTTCTACTATTATAAGCAAGTCCCAGGACACCTGGCTTACATTTAATCTTCCTTTCAAAGAGACACAAACTCTAGGACAGAACCAGTAATAAGGTTCTTCACCCAAGAACTCTATCAAATGGATTTTAAATTTAACCTGTCCTAAAGGGACCCTGACAGAAATCTTAATTATACACAGTCATTCTCACTCATGTTCATATTTTCCCTCTTTCATTTTCACTCTGGTACAACTTACTTATAAATTAGAGAAAGAGCTCTTAATTCCAGCTGGCCAGCACTCTCCTAAATATAAATACAGAATTTTGATAAACTTTCAGAACTCTTAAGTAGTGTTTACAACATTTTTCAGCTATTTGATATTTCAAGTAAAGTATTTGTATAACACACTGTAATTTGTTCTGAATGAGAAAATTAAGAAAGCTAGCAACTCTATGATATAAACTCAAATGGACCCAAAATTCTACTTAGCCATAAGGTAATAACTACATGATTTTAAAAGTATAAAAAGTATAACTACTATTTTAAAAAAGGTGGCAGAGTATTTACTAAATGTCATTTAACTAAAAATTGATTACTATCATCAAATAAAAGTATTTCTAAATTATTATGAATCTTCCTTCTGCAAAAAAGAACTACCAATCAGGAAAATTTTAATTTTTAAAAATTAGTAAACATTACCATCCTTCTTTCCCATTACAGCGAAAAGGCTTTAAGTGTTTCCCAACATTGTCCTCCCAAGCACTGTGTACACTCAACAGGCTACAGAAACTGTCAACACAATTCTCAATAATCAACACAAACAGGCCATCGCTTCTTATCCAATAATTGTTATTCAATACAGTTAAATATTTAAATACTTTGAGGCATTATAGACTTAAAAGTATGTTTGGCTTACTATTTCAAACAACCACGAAAAGATGATATTCTCATATTTGAACTTACCATGGGATCTCCCAACCGTTCAAGATATTTCTCAAAAGATCCCTCTACATACTTCAAAACAAAAAAAAAAACTTGACTTAACCAAATAAATGATTTTACTGCAATCTGATTATATTCTACAGATATCAGTATCTAATGACTTTTATTTGATATTATATTTCGGTTATTTCTCCCTTCCCTTTCCAAGCCCTCTCATATACCCCTTCCCACTCTATCAAATTCATGGCTTCTTTTTTATCACATTCTTATGTATATGTATGTAGACATATATAGTCTTAAATATAATCTGCAGTCTGTACATGGGATTAAATGACTAGTTCACAGCACCTCCAGATCAACAGATACACAAAAGTTGAGTGAAAAAAGGTATTTCGGAAGCTGTCTACATATTAGTGGATTTCATCAAATGCTTTTACCTTCCAGTTTCTTTTAAAATGTCAACTTTAGCCGAACAGTGGTGGTGCACGCCTTTAATCCCAGCACTCAGGAGGCAGAGGCAGGCGGATCTCTGTGAGTTCGATACCAGCCTGGTCTACAAGAGCTAGTACCAGGACAGGCTCCAAAACCACAGAGAAACCCTATCTCGGGAAAAAAAAAAAAACCCATAAAATGTCAACTTTATGTAACTTTACAATTTTAATCAATTAAGCAAGACCAACAATCATTAAGGATAAAATCTTGATAAGAGACATGTATACAAAGTTAAACTAATATAAAGAGAATTTCACTGGTATCAAAAAAAAAGCCCTGAGCACAACAAACTTTTGCTGGTGGTGGATATGGTCTACCTTGCTTTTGATGGCAGCTGCAATGACTTTTAAAATGGCTCAGAACTAAAACTGTTATTCTTAAAATGAATGATCTTATTGTAAGTAAAATATGCCTCCATAAAAAACTGAATTAAAACTCACGTTCTCTATAGTTCTGATATATACCTAGCATGAACTAAATAGAGTAATTTAAATAGCACAAATTGACCATGAACTGTAATGTATTTCAGTTATTATTATATTATAATAATACATATTATTATACACTGTAATGTATAACAGAGATTTAAGATAATGAATTTATCTATCGCACTCATAGGTGCCCTTGTGCCCTTAAAATTGGCTGGTATTTTTTTCTAATTTTTACTGAAAAGACACTTAAATACAGCATAAACTTTTCTAGGGGGATGGGAGAGGAAGATCAAGCTTTGAAAAGTATGTTTAACACATCTTTTGTTAAGCAAACTGTGGTCTAGGAAGTAACAGCACCCTTAATTTACAAGTTTGATTAAAATGCAGAAATCTGAAGCCTCTGCTCAAACCTACTGCATCAGAATGTATAGTTTAACAAAAGCCCCAGTGTTATGTGTATGCACAAAATACTTGAGATATGCTGCATTAGAACATAAGTCTTGCATCTCAATGTCAGGAACAGTATTTCTCCCAGGTGTGGATAAAACTGATCAACAAGATTTAAAGAAGCCTTTACATTATTTTACAGTTCACTGAAACCTGTTGAGAAAATTGAAAACAAACCTCCAAAAGCAGGAGGCAAATATGCAAAAAAAAAAATTGCCCAGTTATTATACACATTACCAACAACTCTGTTCAGTGCATATATTCTACTTACAGACTCAAAAGTTTCTTGATTTTCCTTCATATATGAGACACAAGCTCTCCTGATTTGTAAATGATGGATCTGGCTGTAAAACAGCTATAAAAGATAAGACTAGCTCACTGTCATGTCATTTGAAATAGAAGCTTTTCAATTAACACAATGAACTTAGACATTTAGTTTCCTAATCTAGAACACATGTTGGAAACAGAAAAATTAAGTCCATCTGTTACTACACCTGGTCTTCACCAAAGGCGAAGAAGCCATGCCTCATCTTACAAATAGTCATCTCTAGTAAGATTGAAGGCTAATAATTCTCTCCTAGACTTTCAACTCCATAATGGTACAACCTATTAATCTTTTTCTTATGCATAAAACAAAAGGGAGGACACGCTTACAAACAACTGAGATTCATTTCAAAGTTTTCTTTAACCCCACATTAATTTACCCCTCCCCCATTACAAACTGAAAATGAAAAGCAGAAAAGTAGGCACAGGAAAACAGTATTTGCTCTAATCAGCAATAGCACAGTATTTCACTGTACTTTTCAGGCAGGCCTGGATATTATCACTGAAAAAACAGAAAAAGTAACGCTTTTGTTTCTTTCAGTATGCTACAGATGGAGCTACTCGAACATGGCACATCTCACTCTGAAAACTTACAAACAAGACATTATCCAGTTGTCATATTTATATTTACCTGCTCGGAAATAGCCCGGAAAAGGCAAGAGGCATCCTTGGCAATCACCTTCCGAAACAGCCCTAAACTGCCTAAATATTCATCCATTGATGCCTCACTCAAAGACTTCTGGCCGCAGTTTTTCCATCCTTTATTCATTGTGCATGGGATGAGGAGAAAGGAACAGAGGGGTGAAAAAGAAGAAAACACAGAATGCAGGGAGGACTAGGCAATGGCGGCAAGTTGTGTAGGCAGGTATCCGAAACAGCTCAAGGTCTAGGCAGAAGGCAGGTGCGGCAGGGCTGAAGAATCTTGGCAATTTCCAGAAGCAGAAGCAAGAGGCTGACTGGCGCAGGACAAGACAGGACCCTGTGGAAAAACAAAACGAAGAGCAGATGCTCCAAAGAATAAGAAACTTGAGAAACAAGGGAAGAAAAAAATTAAACAGTTACAGAAAGGTAGGACTATCAAAATCAGCTAAAGGCATAAAAAGTGACTAAGCAGCTGAACTCTGGGGATCTGAAGAAAAACTTGGGGAAGTTACTTCAGGAGGCTGCAAAGATTATAAAAAGCCTCACGTGTGTAAAACAGCTTACTCCACGAAAAGTACTGAGAGCATTCCCAGAATTTCCAAATAATTTCTGTCCTTCAGAAGCCCTCCAGAGTTTAAAGGAAGTAAGGGTGGGGTATTTAACTAATTCTCTTTAGTACTAAGAACATCTTTTTTAAAAGACAAAGAGAAGAGGAGGGACCTCCATCTGCTGGGACAAAGATCACTTAAAAGAAAAGTAAAAATGCCAAGTAACTGTTTCAGGTATAAGAATAAAGTCAACTCAGTCAATTCTAGATTAAAAAATTGTCTACCACTCATACTACTAGGAAATCCCGATATAATTCTTGAAGAATGTCAAGTTGCTGCAGAGTACTAACAAAAACAGGGAGTTTTTAACTGAAAACAATGAGAGCTAGAGATGGCTCAGCAGCTAAAAGCATGTGCTGCAAAAGACTAGAGTTCAGTTCCCAGCACCCACACCAAGTGGGTCACAACCACCTGTACTTCCTCTGGTACCCATGAGCATCTGCACTCAGACAGTGCACATACCCACACAAATATATGTATTTAAAAAATAAATCTTCAAAAAATGGAAACAATGAAAGCAGCATGAAATGAAATACCTTAAACAGAAACTTTTAAAAATGTACATTTAGGATTTGATGGCACATTAACATATTTGACATGTTGTTACATGTTAGTGTACTTTGCAGAAAAAATTCTGAATCATGGGGGGGGCTCCATTTTTATTATTTTGTTTTGACATCAAGTACTATTTTTACTTAAATGCCAAAATACAACCCTTAAAAAGTAAGTTTTAGGGGCATACAGCTCAGTAATAAAGCTTGCATACTAGGTTCTTGTACACTAGATTCAATACCAGCATCCCAAATAAATAAGTCAACAGCTTTTCTTTCCTATTGATCTAGAAATGTTAAACTTGTACTTTTCCTATTTGTACAGTGATAACACACTAAATTAAATATGTAAGGTCCTAGCTACATGGGTTTGACAAAAAAGTAGTATACGCTAAATCAAAGAAAAACGTTGACTTTAAAGACGTAACGTAAAGTAGCTATCAAAACTGTTATTCTTCTATGTGAGTCAGCAGTAATTAAGACTGCTATCTATAGAAGAAACAGGGACCATCACTTATAATTTAAGAAAGAAATAAAATCATGATAAGGAATAAAATCTTGACTTTCCTTACCATACCAATTTCATATTACCTTGTTTCTTTTCTAAAGAAACCATAATATACAGGAATTTTGTACAAGTTCTGAACTATACTGTTTGGTTATAGGGAAACCATCATTTTTTAAGATCACTAGTTCAAGTAAGAAAGACATATTTAGGATTACAATTAAAAAGTTGATTCATTTTGTCATATTTTACAAGTAAAGACAAAATACAAATTCTTTACATCTTCTGAACTTTAAACATGGATACATAAAACCTCAACAAATCCTATTCATTCATATACTTCAATTTGAAAAAAGAACTGGAGGGGAAGGGGTGAGAAAGACAATAAAAATATAGAGGAAACCAAGAAACAAAGACCAGAAAAATCCTCAACAAAAAGACAAGAGAAAGAAAAGTATGTCCTAGGAAACCAAGCAACAGACAAAATTTATTTTTGACAAAGGAACAAAGGCAATACAATAAATAATACAATATTTATATCAAGTGGTGCAAGAATTGGCCATTTGTAATACAAAAATTAACCCTAGACCTAAATCTCAGGCTTTGTTTTATTAATGCAAAGCAGACTAGATATATAAAGTTTCTGTGTTTATCCGGATAGCTGCTTCCCAAGGGAGGGTTAAGACAGTAAGAGAAAAGCTGCAAGGGAGCCCCTCTGTGCCCTGTTGTATTGTATATTTTAGCTTCTGACCTACAAATATTTGGAAATCAATACATAAAATCAAAGTTCTTAAAAATATTTTAAGAAAAAACATTCAATACCTTGGGTTAGGTAAAGTTGTTGAAAAGCATACAGATTGTACTTTCACAAAATAACTTTTGCTCTACAAATGAAATTGTCAGACAGGTGACAACCGAAGTTACAAACTAGGGTAAAATACATGCATATCATATATTTATCAAAGAAATATTTGTATTGAATATATATATATATATATTATTATTAAAAAATGACTAGGGATGTAGCTTAGCTGATACACTGCTTGCTTAGCATGCTAGCAACCTCAAGTTCAATCCTCAGGAAAACATAAAAGTGGCATGGAGGCACAAGGCTTTAACCTCAGCTCTCCAGTAGTAGAGTCAGGATTTCAGACATTTACAACCACCTGCTGCTACATAGATAGTTTGAGGCTGGTCTCTACTACACATGTAGAGTTAGCAATGAACAATCTAGTTTTTTTCAATGGGCAAAACATCTTAATGTTTTACTAAAGGTAAATGAAAGGGAAGTTACAATAAAGTTAAGGTGGCAGAATGCTTGTCTTGTGTATAATATCCCAGCCTTAGAAGCTAGCTGTAAAACCAGGATTTTAAGGTTATTTTCCACTAAACAAGAGTTTGAGGCCCATCTGGGCTAGAGTCTCTGTCTAAAAAGCGAAATGAGTAAAAATGGCTAATAAGTAGTTAGAAGATGTTCAGCATAATTAGTCATAAAAAATGCAAATTAAAACCACAATGAGACAATTACACAGGTACTGGGAAGGCTATAAAATAACTGTGAACAAGAGTGTGGAAAAAACAGCCCTAAAAAGCCAGATACAAAAGGTGTGATATGAAATATGCCAAAAGGCAAATCTAGATAAAAATCACATTAGTAGTTACCTGGGGCTGTGGTGGAACAGGCATTGGCAACAAACAAGCATTTAGAAAGATAAAAATCTGAAAATCTTTCCCAACAGTTTCACTAAAAATTACGGAATTATACTCTTTTAAAAAACTGGTTAATTTTGCCAGGAAGTGGTGGTACATGTCTTTAATTCCAGCACTCAGGAGGTAGAGGCAGGTGTACCTCTGTAATTTCGAGGCCAGCAAAGCTAGTTCCAGGACAACCAGTGCTACACAAACACTGAGGGGAGGACCTGGTTAATTTCTAATATTCATCATAAGTGTAGAATTAAAATAATTTTTCATATATTCAGTTACACATCCATCACAATTTGAGAACACTGTCACTTGAAAATGAAACCCTATTATCTTACAGCTATTATCCTCTAATTACCCTATCTCACCAGCTCAGTAGTTGCCTGCCTATCTTTAGATTTACCTATTCTGAACATTTCTAATAAATGTAACCATACATTTTTATATGGCCCTCACTTGTTATACTTAGCAGAGTTCATTTTAAAAACCATCATTCTAAGACAAGGTGTTTTACAAGTTATTACTAATTCTTTGAAGTATTATTTTAGGGCAAATCCAAAACTTTAATAAACACTGCCATCTTAAATTAAAATTCACAATCCCTATTTAAGCAATATTAAAGGTGCTTGAGGAAAGCTTGTTGAGCTATCAGAAGATATAGAAATAAAGACTTTGAGAATGATGAAAATACCAAGAAAGACATGAAGGAAATAGTATCAGAAGATAACTTCAAAACACAAATATTTAAGGAAAACAACAGCATATAACTTACTTGTAATCAGGTAAACCAATTGGGAGAATTTTTCCCCATGAAGTCTATGAATAATAGTACACTTTAAAATAGCAATGTAAAAACAGGCCCTGTGTCTATAACTAATATAAATGTTCAATTTGGGGGATATTGATATAATTTAATATACTATCTTATTATACCAATAAATGATGAACATGCACTAAGAATTCAGTGCTCCAATTACCATTCCCAGATTATCCCCCATTGCTTGGATCCTTTCATCTACAAAATGGAACAAAATGAAACTATTTCTTAGGATTACTAGAGGTTAAATAAATTCAAATGTAAAGTAAACTGAATAAGTACCAATATATAAGCACTTAACAAGTGTTAAACATAACTATTGTTCTTTCTTCCCTAGTCTCCCCAGAAAAATGTGGTATCATTTTGTTCAGCACAAAATTGGCTCATCACGTTTATCATCATTACATGTTCCCAAATATTCTCCAAAAGCCAATTTCAAATAATCTGCCCATACATCATTTACCAGAGCATATGCAGATTTAGACATCTCTGCGAATTGTTACATGAACATGAATTGAGTGCTATTATCTCACTAACAGCAAAAGAAAAATGCCTACAGTACTTTTAGTCATTCCTGACTTTAGTCTTAACTTTTTTTTATATTGCCCTTTGACTTAACTTTGTATCTGAAATCAACAAACACCTGACTACTTTATGCTTCAGAACCTTGTAACAAGTTCATTGGTTAGACCTCCCAACCATTCCAGCTCATTCACTCCCAACTATAAGCCATCAAATCTAAAATTCCCAGTTTCCAAGATCATCTCATAACATCAACCTCTCATATGCTCAATTTTGTAGGACCAGAAAAGTCACTTCTGAATCTGTCCATGGCATCAATTTCCCAAAAATCATTTTTTTTGCCTCCTTATATCTAGAAATCTAAATAACACTAATAAAAAAGTATTAAACAGCATTCCACTTATCCATTGACTTTAAAATTAACTTTATTCAAAGATATTTCAAGTAAAATCGTTTTTTATAAGAAATAGTAACATATAAACCTGATAGCCTTTTTTACACACCAGTACTATTTTCAAATATCTTTTATCTCTAAAAGTCTATATAATTGTCTTAAAGTGAATTAAGTCAATTAAAACAGTTCTCTAAGCCGGGCAGTGGTAGCTCAGGGTTTTAATCCCAGCACTGAGTCAA